TACCTTGTTTTTATTTAGTATTTTTATTATGAATTGATAGTTAATTTTTTTTCTCCCCAGTCAAGTCAGTGTTTTTTTTAATTGTTTTTATAGGTGGTGGCTCACTAGGTGGAGGGCTTCCTCATTTTTAATTTGTCTTTTAGGCCTCCCTGATAGTCACCTTGTGCTGGTAAAACACCTCAGTGTATTGACATCATTTTTAGCATAGATACATTTTGTAATAAAAGCCCTATGAAGCTTACCTATAAATAAAACAGGACACTGTTTAAAAGTAGAAATTCACCTCTCTGCTTTTTTCTTAAAAGCTAAGAACCTATATTCATATGTGGTATTCTCTGGGTGAGTCCCAAAGTGGGGTTGTCTCATTGCAGGCGCACAGCTGCCCCGGTCACATTGACATGTTGAGCATGTCAGCATGTTAACAGCAGACAAAGTGCAAGGTACTTCTTATCATGGAATATTCCATCCATCAAGGAATATTTTACAAACCCTCTTACATGTTTTAGATGTTTTGCTCTAACATAATATTTACATGAGGAAATCCATGAAGAACCAATATGATTTCTGAATTGTTCTATTCCTCATGCTGCATCGGGGCAGATGGACTTCCCGTAGCTCAACGTGCTGGTCTGACACGTGACCTGCACTCTTGAGAAACGACGCACTGCTAGAAACGAACGCTAGAGGGCGCCGGGGTCACTTTTAAATCTGCCTCTTTAATTAAACTTAAAACGCGTGTAATCGGAGATTGAAAAAGAGTGAAACTCTGCTAAAAATGAATTTAAGTACGGTTTACCTTGTTGAATAATCCTTCACAGGGCTCTCAAGTGTCACGCATTCAGCGTGACTGTCACTCATTTCGCTCTGCGCATCGTCCGTATCAAGTACATTGATATTTGCCGCGGGGCGAGGGCTTCAGTTGCCTCTCTTTTGACTGTTTGCATCCCTGAGCTACTCATCTGGGTGAGCTGATCCCTGAAGCTCAAACATGTTTATTTCTTCTGGGATTGGGTCTCCTCTCTGCTGAGGAGGAACCTCGGGGAATCCTCAGACGGGTTTGCTCCACAGTCGGGATTTGATTGACCTTATTTGAACCGCATCCATCCATCCATCTTCAACCGCTTATCCGGGGTCGGGTCGCGGGGGCAACAGCTCCAGCAGGGGACCCCAAACTTCCCTTTCCCGGGCCACATCTACCAGCTCTGACTGGGGGATCCCAAGGCGTTCCCAGGCCAGTGCAGAGATATAATCTCTCCACCTAGTCCTGGGTCTTCCCCGGGGCCTCTTCCCAGCTGGCCGTGCCTGAAACACCTCCCTAGGGAGGCGCCCAGGGGGCATCCTCACCAGATGCCCAAACCACCTCAACTGGCTCCTTTCGACGCAAAGGAGCAGCGGCTCTACTCCGAGCTCCTCGCGAATGGCTGAGCTTCTCACCCTATCCCTAAGGGAGACGCCAGCCACTCTCCTGAGGAAACCCATTTCGGCCGCTTGTACCCGTGACCTAGTTCTTTCGGTCATGACCCATCCTTCATGACCATAGGTGAGGGTAGGAACGAAGATTGACCGGTAGATCGAGAGCTTTGCCTTCCGGCTCAGCTCTCTTTTCGTCACAACGGTGCGGTAAAGCGAGTGCAATACCGCCCCCGCTGCTCCGATTCTCCGGCCAAACTCACACTCCATCTTCCCCTCACTCGTGAACAAGACCCCGAGGTACTTGAACTCCTTCACTTGGGGTAAGGACACATTCCCTACCTGGAGTAGGCAATCCATCGGTTTCCTGCTGAGAACCATGGCCTCAGATTTAGAGGTGCTAATCCTCATCCCGACCGCTTCACACTCGACTGCGAAACGCTCCAGTGAGAGTTGGAGGTCACAGACGGAAGATGCCATCAGGACCACATCATCTGCAAAAAGCAGCGATGAGATCCGCAGCCCCCCGAACTGTAGACCCTCCTCCCCCCGACTACGCCTCGATATCCTGTCCATGAAGACCACAAACAAGATTGGTGACAAGGCGCAGCCCTGGCGAAGGCCAACCCCCACCGGAAACGCCTTCGACTTACTGCCGAGCACCCGAACACAGCTCTCGCTTTGGGCGTACAAGGATTGGATGGCCCCAAGCAAGGACCCCCTCACCCCGTACTCCCGCAGCACCTCCCACAGTATCTCTCGGGGGACCCGGTCATACGCCTTCTCCAAGTCCACAAAACACATGTAGACTGGTTGAGCATATTCCCAAGCCCCCTCTATGATCCTGGAAAGAGTGAAGAGCTGGTCCGTTGTTCCACGACCAGGACGAAAACCGCATTGTTCCTCTTCTATTTGAACCGCAATACTATTCTAATAGTACGGAGTGGTAGTGGCTTCCAACTTGAGAATCTGAAAGAGTAGCGAGGTTCAACTTGCTCACTCCACAAACACCAGAATTAAAGAGGGTACAGGTTGTGGTGGAATAGCGCAGGGGAGCTGCTGTAAGGCTGAAGTGTGGAGGATCCTTGGTTCAAACCCCCTCTCTCAGATGGAGCACAGTGCAGCCAAATATTTGCTCATTAGGCTTTGAAACAGGTTTCAGCATCTCAATCTCAAGTTTAATTACAATAAACAGAGAAATCAAGTGTGATCAGGAATCCGGAAACATTTATTAGCCAAAAAATGTCAAACATACAAGGAATTTGTCTTGGCGATTAGTGCGCGACAGTAGACAGACAAGACAACAGTGCACAAGTAATAAAATAAAGTGGAATGAAATGCTAATGCAATGGGTTAGTAAGAATAAGGCTAAGGCTATGGGTTAGTATAAAACAAGGGAATAAAGTTAAAAAATGTAAATTTTAAAAAGTAAAAAAAGAAAAATATTAAGCATAAAGTGCACTAACAAACAAGTAACAGACAAGAGACAAAGTGACAAGTGACAAAGTGATGAATTGCAGTTAAAGTGACATGTGCAGTGTGAAGGGGAGTGACCGGTGGAATGTTATAGTCAGTCAGTGGGGGACCGGGCTCTGTTGATGAGCCCGACTGCCGACGGGAAGAAACTGTTCGTGTGGGGGGAGGTCGTAGTCCTGATGGACCTCAGCCTCCTGCCAGATGGAAGGGGCACAAACAGTTTTTGTCCGGGGTGGGAGGGGTCGGCCGCGATCTTTTTAGCTCGCTTCAGAGACCTGGAAGCGAACAAGTCCTGCAGGGACGGCAGATTGCAGCCGATCACCCTCTCTGCAGACCGGATGACACGCTGCAGCCTGCCCTTGTCCTTGGCTGTGGCTGCAGCGTACCAGACGGTGATGGAGGAGCAGAGGATGGACTCGATGATGGCCGTGTAGAAGATGTAGATGTGGCCAAATAGTACAAGGGAATGACAGGCTGGCTCAGACCTGCTGTTGTGGGTTCAAGCCCAGTCATGGGAATGTAATAACTTTTGAGGTTCAACTGACAAGCTCAAGGTGCAATAGGATCAATGAAAGCCAAATAGATGTATGGTGAGCTAGCACAGTTAGGAAAGCTTCTGTCTCTAACCTGCACTTGCAGGTTGTGGGTTCAAGTCCACTTGTGGAAATGAGTTTTAGTGTTTAAAGAGTTTTAGGGTTTCACTCACATTCTCAAGGTTCGTACGAGAAACCAAGTTCCTCAAGTGTGAGCAGGACTGGTGGTGAGTGCAGGGGCCAAAACCTCTAAGCATCAATGGGTTCAAATCTCCTGTAATTTGCAACACCAACTAGTTCAATTTGTTTAAATATTATTCTTGTGTTTCAATTCCTTAATCTTATAACAATTTACTAGAAAAAAATCGAGCAATATGAGTTGATGATGCTTAAAGTAAGTATTCCTGACAGCAGGGGGAGACGACACTGAACAGCCTCTTTATGTCAAGACAATTTGGTCTTTTAACTTTCTTACCTATTCGAGCTAGGGATGCACCGATCCACATTTTTTCACTTCCGATCCGATCCCGATCCCGATACCTAAATTTGGATATCGGCCAATACAGATAATATTCCGATACCAGAGCTGTGTTTGAAAAACAGGAAATCCTGTTAACAGAAAAAATTCTGAAAACAAATTTGAAACTAAGGGTTTCAGATTGATTGTCATGTCAATATTTATTTAATTTCATAAATGTCAAATACTTGAGTCTCAAAAATTTAGAAATATGAAAAGTGCAAGTGTGAACAGCTTACACACTTGACACACAGTCTCACTCGTTTACAAAAATATCAGCACAAATCAAGTAAACTGACTCTTGTATCATGAACAACATGTCAAATATCTGAAGAAAAGTGCAATAAAATAACTGTAAACATCTTACACACTTGACCCAGTCTCACTCACTCATTCACACACGCAATCACACTTACTCTCTCACACACACACACAATAAGTTTTAAAACAGTGTGCATCAGAACAGCACTTAAGATGACCTGCAATAAACTAAACACCAGAGTCTAACTATTCTTTAAAAGAAAATAAAAATTGAATGTCTCAAAGTTGACTCTGAGGAAGTGATGTAGTGTTCAACAAATCTTATATCGGCAGGTTCTTCTTGAGGAATATGAGCATTTCTGCTCTCTCTGCAGTTAGACGATTCCTTTTTTCATCCACGCTATTGGATGCCGTGCTTAACAGTCTAGCCGCAGTGCCATCCTGCTAGTCTGCTAGCTGGCTGCAAACTGTGGAATGGATTCCTGAACGGAGGCGCGGCTCAATGAGACAGTTATGAGACACGCTCAGGAAATCCATTCCACAGTTTGCAGACAGCTAGCAGACTAGCATGCTAGCAGGCGGGGATCACTTTTGGAGTCATTTCAGCAGACGACGTTAAAGCGCAGACATGGCTCTTTGATATCGGAAATCTCCAAAGGTTGTATCGGGAAATCCGATATCCGAATTTCTCTGGTATCGGATACCGATACTGGATCGGATCGGCCCCATCCCTAATTCAAGCATTAAAAAAAATCCAGAAATATTTCAAATGAAGTACTTACAGCAGACACACAGAAGCCATATCTTCATCAGGATAACCTGATTTATTGAACATTTCAGTTTTCTGAGATGACAAAGGCGATGTAGAAGAAATGAACCGGTGTGATCTTTTTATTTTTTTTAAAGCTTTCCTAATTAGCAAAGCTTGTTTAAAACTTGTCTAAATGATGATGGCAACCAGTCCGGTCAGAGCTCCTCCGATTGCTGCACCAGTGCCGGCTGCCGCTGCTGAGGCAGCTGTTCCCAGACCAGCCGCACCTGAAGGAGGAATACTCAGGGATTACATCACCATGTGGAGCACAACACCAGCCTCATTATGACATACACAGGGGTGTGGTCACATTACAAAGCTAAATAAATCCCTACAATGACCACGTGAAATGACCACTAAGACAAAACCGTTACAACCACAAGTTGTAAAAACATTCATTTAGGAAATCCAGTATCGGCGTTTACCTGCCGCCTGCAGAACAGCCACGGTGCTCCCGGCAGCCACCGCCCCCCCGTTGGCCACGGCCGCGGTGGACATCATACCTGCAGCCCAGGAGCCTGCAGCGATCCCAGCAGAGGTGAAACCTACGGCTCCCAGAACCAGAGGGACCGCAAGAACTCCGCCTACTGCACACGGACAACACAGCAGAGGGCCATTTACGAAGGAATAATGCATGATAGGAGTTTAACATGTAATAGAGCTGGAAATCCGAGAAAAGTAAACATTGTTATTCCATGAAGGCTGTGCTGTGAGAGGTCTTACCGGCTCCTGTTCCGACTGCTGCTCCGGCAGCAAGATAAGTCACTGGAAAGAGGAAAAAACAAAAAGCATTCCAAAACATTTAAATCAATAAACAAAAACACCTTTCTCGTTTGAAACCAAAAGCGGTAAAATGAGAGTGCAGTTTTCTCGTTTATGGTTTATAACCAAAAACACGAGACAAACTCGTCATCTGAAATAACTTAAACACAGTTAAACATAATTAAATCTATGGTGTGAATACACGTATTCTGCCGCCTGCTGGTGGAGATGAGAGCACGTTTACTCTGAACTGTCTGTAGTCTGTCTGCTCTGCGGTCACTGACGCAATGCGGGCAAAATAAATATCAGAGCAACGAGTGTGCGCGTAGTCAACTACTGCTGCTAACACACATCCCGTCCGACCAGGATTAGTTATTTATATCCATTAATCAACGTTTCTCCTCACGTTTCCCGTGACACCCGCTGGCACCGCAGACGGATTTCTCCCAAAAGAGATTAAACGGAGTAAAACGTTGTCAGTCTGTCTCGTATTTTGGTTCTAAGCGAAAAGCGAGGAAACGCCTGCCGACGTCGAAAACACAGTTTTCTCGTTTTATATCAAAAGCGGCAAAACTGACTATGAAAAAGTGCACGGACCAAATCCACACATTGAAATACGGTGAAAGGAACGGCGATACTCACAAATCCCCATGGTTTGTTTCAGTGTACCCGCCCACAGACGAGCCTGGATGAGCTCGATAAGGTTATATATGCTGAGGGGGGGGGGGGCGTTTCTCATGAAGTGAAACTGGAACACAGCGGCTGCTGGCCAGTAGAGGGCAATAGGCCCCCTCCCCCGGAGCGCCCCTCCTTGAGCCGAAAAAGAAAAGAGTAGTAATAATAAATGTCAATTTTTATGTTTTTGAAATATGGAATGTACCCAGTAATATTTGTAAAATATGATTTCTGTGCAAAATATATGCTTTCCTCTCACCCGATGTTGGCTGGGATTGATTTGGCTGGGATTGAGCCCCCCCTCTCCCCCTCGCGACCCTCTATGAAGGATAAGCGGTTTGAAGACGGACGGAACCGTTACTTCTGTCTGACACGTGACCTGCGGACTCGCCAAACGACGCATTGTGAGAAATGAACACGTGAGGGCGCCAGAGAGTCACTTCTTATTCTGCTATGATCACTAAAATCAACCGTAACAGCAAAGCACGAATGGACATTATAAGTGTAAAAATCCGACTCTGGCTTTTAATGTAAAGTTTGTTTATACATGTTTACTTTTCTACAAATAGACAGTACAATATTAAAGGTTTGTTTCTAACTTTAACAAAACGCTTGGCCAAGGAAAAGAACAAGCACATACTTCTTCAATTATCCATAACGAACGCATCTGTGGAAACACCTTGGTGTTTGCCCTGCCAACGGACCGTTGATGTGCACAACGTACTGCTTTGTCGCCCCAATTATAAAGACATAATGGAGTCCTCCTGTGTCCAATGACCTGTACCTCCCCAGTGTATTTAAACCATGTGTGTCCCTTGGTTCATTAAATGAGCTTCATATGTCGGTGAGTGTTTGTTTGCCCGTGTCCTGGTCCTCGTTCTGCCTATAGGCATTTCTGATTATTTAATCAAAGGCTTTATTTTTTTTGCTTGAATTCTGCGTTTTGACAAAGTTTTATGACAAAGGCCAGCGCAAGGAGTGCCCCATCCGGACCTACTTGGTGACGTCTCGCGGCGCAGGCAGCTCTGGTATCAGAGCCCTAAAAACTCTGCGCTCCTGGGATCTGGAGATGGACGAGGCTCTCTTGAGGTCAGGGGCACCGAAGGGCCCCATGCTCGAAGATCAGGCCGCACATCTTCTTTGACGACCAGATGTCTCATGTGGAGGGGGCAAAAGCAGCGGGGGTAGTAGCTTGCCATGTTCCCTATATGGCAAGTGGGTTAGCTCATAGAGATACCAAGAGATAGTAATGGATATAAAACCCAGCTGATGCAATAGACTCATGTATGATGAAGTTATCCAGCCTTCTAACTAAACAGGGAGGATAAACCCATTTTAAACATACATTTGTTCTTAGCTTGGCCTGTATTTGTCTTATGAAGAATTATTAAATGGTTCTTTACACTTTAATAAAGTTATTATTGGAAACTTATAAACCATATTTGAGTGAAACTCAATGACATTTGTATTTTTTTGTTATTACATACCAGCTGTCCTCTGTATTATTATCTGTACTTGTATATTTGTTTCCATCTCTGTAAATGTCACTCTACCCTTTAGAAAAACAAAAAAGCCAATACATACAAAGCACATTCAACATTAAGCAAAGGTAAATATTGGGCGTGTAAATATTGGGCGTGTGAAAAGTCTATCTTTAAAACTAAACAATAGTAATAGAGTACATTTCACCAAACTGGATTCAAGTTTTTATCATTTGCGAGATGGTTCGTCATCACTATATTTGGAACACAAGGACAAAGACAAAAGAAACACAAAAGAGTCGCTGAACCAGTTTAGTTCTGACGGCTCATTCAGAGCAAACTTTATATTTTACAGGATGTAATAATCGTGCCACACCTCACTTTTACCCTGCGACATTCACTCCATCGGAGCATTTGGCCAACCCTCATCTTGAATATAAAAGGCGGCTTGGATGGGAACTTCTACCAAAGAGAGAGAGAGAGAGAGAGAGAGAGAGAGAGAAAGAGACTACCTAAGGTATCAAGGTAAACACTAGAACAGCGATTCCCAAAGTTTGGGCCGCGAAGGTACTGCAGGTGGGCCTCGAGAGGTCATTTACAATAAATAAATAGTTTATTAATTTTCAATTTTTAAAAGTTTGAAATTAATATAAAAATATGTATGATGCGGCACATTACTGTAGCCCCCTGGTGAACTTTGGACTCATAGTCGTACTTTCAAAACTAGGTGCCTGCCTATTAAAAAAAGTAAATGTTTATTTTACATTAAATAAATAATAGGGGACACCTGATTTCTAAGTGGGGAGATGTTTATTTGTCGTGCATGGAGTAATAATTGTCATAGTGATGAATACTAATGTCAAGTTCATATTAATTGGTTAAATAATATCTCCAGAGGTTTTAGGCCGTTAGCCTTTTATTACTTACTGTTTGATGTTACAGTATTATTGGTCAGTTGTACAGCCAATGGTGATTGGTTTGGAAAACAACTGGGAAGACACGTGACTGGAAAGTGCTGGAAGTTTTGGGGTTCTTCAGAAAAAACGAGGGGTCATGAAGAGACGGTACGCCGGCGTTTTTGGGGAAGAGGGAAAAGACGCTAGCAGAGAGATAAGACGGCGGAATAAACCGGCGCGGGAGGCTGGAAGGAGTGGACCGCGGACTCGGTGTGTTTGTGAGCCCGGAAACGGAGGAAAACCCGAAGCCGAAACCCCGTCGGACGGAGCGGGGGAGAAGCAGCGGAGGTCGCCATCGAGGGAGCCGAGCTTGCTAGCCGCGGTGCGCGAGGCCGGCCGGAAGTGTCGGTGACTCGCATCGCGGACCCGAGTTTCCACGCGCTCAATGTTTTGACAGTGATTTCAGCGAACTCAATGTTTTGCCAGACCAAACAGGCCTGCAGCGGGCTTCCCCCCGTACATATCGTTGCCGTGAGTAACTGGAACATGTGTGGCTGTGTGTGTGATTGGGCCCAACACCGCATCGGCTAATACTTGTTTCAAGACACTTGGAGGGGGGAGTTCTTATTGTTATTGTTGAGAACTCTGGTATTCTCCGAGTTAAGGAACGGGAACATTTCGACCATTTATTTTGATTTAACGTCATTGATACTATTGGGGTGTATCACTGAATTTAGAGTTTATTATTTACGTTTTGGTGAAGTTTTGGTTATTTATTTTTGTCTATTTGGTAATATTGTGTTTTGGGGGAAAGTAATTATTGTATTTAAATAAACAAGGGCGTTACCCTATTTATTTTATTTTTGTTAAAAGAACAACCATCTCTGGGTCTCATTATTTTTTTAACTAGCTTCTTGTTAAAAGTTTTACAATACATCGAACCCAAGCACCCCCCCCCATTCTCACGTGAGTGACTCACAGAGTGGTGATACGGGTGCTACATTTGTTATGTGAAACATTAGTTGATGAAGCACAAACAATTTAAACGGAAAGATTAATAAATCAATAAGGCTCTCGCTCGAAACGGCTGCTCTTGTCCGCCTGTCGCTGTTCAACAAACGCGGCGCCCTCTTGTAGTATTAAAGTAAATATACCGCATTTTCCGCACTCCAAGGCGCACTTACAAGGCTTTAATTTCCTCAAAAAACGACAGTGCCTTATAATCCGGAGCGCCTTATATATATGGATCAATTGGTTAATCGGTTGATCCATACTGGTTGCACGCGGCGCTCAAGGCGCGCTGCCAAACACGCCAAAGCTCGTCTACGACGGCGAGATGCTGAGCGGCGCTCAAGCGCGTGAGATGTGGAGCTGCTTTCAGGGCGCGTCGGAGAAACAAAGCTGTCGTTCTCGCCGAGCACTTCATGAGATTAAAGAGACGGTGCCCTTTTCTCTACAGTAGCTGAACCGTCTTAACGGGGAAAATAAGTAAATAACTAATGTTTCACATAACTAAATATTTTTATATTCATTTCAAACTTTTCAAAATTGAAAATTATAAACTTTATTTATTTATTGTAAAAATGACCTCTCGCGGCCCACCTGCAGTACCTTCGCGGCCCACACTTTTGGCTCTACAGGGTTTTATACCTTTCTAATGAAACGAAAACAGGTTCCGATGAGCCTTGAACTGTGCTGGTTAGTCAGGTTTCTCCATAAAGAAAACTTTAAAACCAAACAATAGTAATTGTCAGAGTACATTTCACCAAACTGGATTCAAGTTTTTATCATTTGCGAGATGGTTCGTCATCACTATATTTGGAACATGAGAACAAAGACAAAAGAAACACAAAAGAGTCGCTGAAGCAGTTTAGTTCTGACGGCTCATTCAGAGCAAACATATTTTACACTAAAGTAAATATTGTTTTTGCATTAAAATAATGGTGGCATCAAAACCAAAGTAAAAAGTAAGTACAATATGAAGTATTTATAGTTAAAAGATCATAATGGTGTTATTCTGGTATGCAGGGCCTGCCTCTACTTTGAGGTTAAAATATTTAGCATTTCATATTGATGTATATCGACAGTAAGGGCCAAAAACATCTGTTTTCGTTATATATATATATATGGTTACGGTTAGGGTATATATAATATTTAATTATATATTATTGTCAACGGAACCGGTATTTACGAATAGGACCCATGTCTTCTTCAATGGGCTGACACGTGACCTGCAGACAATCGAGAAACGACGCACTGTTAGAGATGAACACAAGAGGGCGCCAAAGAGACTCGTGCCTAATTCTGCCTTAAAGGAACTTTTATTAAACCTAAAACGTGTGTAATCGGAGATTTAAAAAGAGTGAAACTCTACTAAAAATGAATTTAAGTACGGTTTACCTTGTTGAATAATCCTTCACAGGGCTCTCAAGTGTCACGCATTCAGCGTGACTGTCACTCATTTCGCTCTGCGCATCGTCCGTATCAAGTACATTGATATTTGCCGCGCGGCGAGGGCTTCAGTTGCCTCTTTTTTGACTGTTTGCATCCCTGAGCTACTCATCTGGGTGAGCTGATCCCTGAAGCTCAAACATGTTTATTTCTTCTGGGATTGGGTCTCCTCTCTGCTGAGGAGGAACCTCGGGGAATCCTCAGACGGGTTTGCTCCACAGTCGGGATTTGATTGACCTTATTTGAACCGCAATACTATTATAATAGTACGGAGTGGTAGTGGTTTCCAACTTGAGAATCTGAAAGAGTAGCGAGGTTCAACTTGCTCACTCCACAAACACCAGAATTAAAGAGGGTACAGGTTGTGGTGGAATAGCGCAGGGGAGCCGCTGTAAGGCTGAAGTGTAGAGGATCCTTGGTTCAAACCCCCTCTCTCAGATGGAGCACAGTGCAGCCAAATATTTGCTCATTAGGCTTTGAAACAGGTTTGAGCGTCAAGTTTAGTTACAAGAAACAGAGAAATAAAGTGTGATGTGGCCAAATAGTACAAGGGAATGACAGGCTGGCTCAGACCTGCTGTTGTGGGTTGTGGGTTCAAGCCCAGTCATGGGAATGTAATAACTTTTGAGGTTCAACTGACAAGCTGAAGGTGCAATAGGAGAAATGAAAGCCAAATAGATGTATGGTGAGCTAGCAGTTAGGAAAGCTTCTGTCTCTAACCGGCACTTGCAGGTTGTGGGTTCAAGTCCACTTGTGGAAATGAGTTTTAGTGTTTAAAGCGTTTTACGGTTTCACTCACATTCTCAAGGTTCGTACGAGAAACCAAGTTCCTCAAGTGTGAGCAGGACTGGTGGCGTAGTGGTGAGTGCAGGGGCCAAAACCTCTAAGCATCAATGGGTTCAAATCTCCTGTAATTTGCAACACCAACTAGTTCAATTTGTTTAAATATTATTCTTGAGTTTCAATTCCTTAATCTTATAACAATTACTAGAAAAAAAATCGAGCTATATGAGTTGATGATGCTTAAAGTAAGTATTCCTGACAGCAGGGGGAGACGACACTGAACAGCGTCTTTACGTCATATAAAGACAATTTGGTCTTTTAACTTTCTTACCTATTGAAGCATTAAAAAAAATCCAGAAATATTTCAAATGAAGTACTTACAGCAGACACACAGAAGCTGTATCTTCATAAGGTTAAACTGATTTATTGAACATTTCAGTTTTCTGAGATGACAAAGGCGATGTAGAAGAAATTAACTGGTGTGATCATTTTTTTTTAATGATTTCCTAATTAGCAAAGCTTGTTTAAAACTTGTCTAAATGATGATGGCAACCAGTCCGGTCAGAGCTCCTCCGATTGCTGCACCAGTGCCGGCTGCCACCGCTGTGGCGGCTGTTCCCAGACCAGCCACACCTAAAGCAGGAATACTCAGGGATTACATCACCATGTGGAGCACAACACCAGCCTCATTATGACATACACAGGGGTGTGGTCACATTACAAAGCTAAATAAATGCCTACAATGACCACGTGAAATGACCACTAAGACAAAACCGTTACAACCACAATTGGAAAAACATTCATTTAGGAAATCAAGTATCGGCGTTTACCTGCAGGCTGCAGAACAGCCACGGTGCTCCCGGCAGCCACCGCCCCCCCGTTGGCCACGGCCGCGGCGGACATCATACCTGCAGCCCAGGAGCCTGCAGCGATCCCAGCAGAGGTGAAACCTACGGCTCCCAGAACCAGAGGGGCCGCAAAAACTCCGCCTACTGCACACGGACAACACAGCAGAGGGCCATTTACGAAGAAATAATGCATGATAGGAATTTAACATGTAATAGAGCTGGAAATCCGAGAAAAGTAAACATTGTTATTCCATGAAGGCTGTGCTGTGAGAGGTCTTACCGGCTCCTGTTCCGACTGCTGCTCCGGCAGCAAGATAAGTCACTGGAAAGAGGAAAAACAAAAAGCATTCCAAAACATTTAAATCAATAAACAAAAACACTTTTCTCGTATTTAGTTTGAAACCAAAAGCGGTAAAATGAGAGTGTGCAGTTTTCTCGTTTATTGTTGAGACAAACTCGTCATCTGAAATAACTTAAACATAATTAAATCGAAGGGCGGCACGGTGGCGTGGTGGTCAGCACTGTTGCCTCACAGCAAGAAGGTCCTGGGTTCAATTCCGCCCAGTGGCCTTTCTGTGTGGAGTCTGCATGTTCTCCCCGTGTCTGCGTGGGTTCTCTCCGGGTTCTCCGGCTTCCTCCCGCAGTCCAAAGACATGCTCTGGGGCTCAGGTTAATTGGGGACTTTAAATTGCCCATAGATGTGTGAATGTGAGTGTCAATGGTTGTGTGTCTCTGTGTAGCCCTGCGATTGGCTGGCGACCAATCCAGGATGTACCCTGTCTATCGCCCGAAGTTGGCTGGGATGGACTCCAGCCCCCCCCCCCCCCCCGCGACCCTGTGTGCAGGATAAGCGGTTTGATGATGGATGGATGGATGGATAATTAAATCGATGGTGTGAATACACGTATTCTGCCGCCTGCTGGTGGAGATGAGACCACGTTTACTCTGAACTGTCTGTAGTCTGTCTGCTCTGCGGTCACTGACACAATGCGGGCAAAATAAATATCAGAGCAACGAGTGTGCGCGTAGTCAACCACTGCTGCTAACACACATCCCGTCCGACCAGGATTAGTTATTTATATCCATTAATCAACGTTTATCCTCATGTTTCCCGTGACACCCGCTGGCACCGCAGACTCTTACTGTGAAAATCCACGTACTTCCGGTTCAGCCTCGTGTTTGTTTGTTTTTGCTATGGGCGAAACCCAAAAAGAGATTTAACGGAGTAAAAAGTTGTCAGTCTGTCTCGTCTTTTGGTTCTAAGCGAAAAGCGAGGAAACTGCTGCCGACGTCGAAAACACCGTTTTCTCGTTTTGGATCAAAGCGGCAAAACTGTCTATGAAAAAGTGCACGGACCGAATCCACACATTGAAATACGTCAATACGGTGAAAGAAACGGCAATACTCACAAATCCCCATGGTTTGTTTCAGTGTACCAGCCCACAGACGAGCCTTCTTCTTCTTCTTCTTCTTCTTCTTTTCGTTTACTGGCTGATCGCAACCAACTTAAAGGTGCATATACAGTATATACTGTATATACCTGGATGAGCTCGACAAGGTTATATATGCTGAGGGGCGTGGCGTGGGGGGGGCGGGGCGTGGGGGGGGGCGGGGCGTTTCTCATGAAGTGAAACTGGAACACAGCGGCTGCTGGCCAGTAGAGGGCAATGGGCCCCCTCCCCCGGAGCGCCCCTCCTTAAGCCGAAAAAGAAAAGAAAAGAGTAGTAATAATAAATGTCAATATTTATGTTTTTGAATTATGGAATGTACCCAGTAATATTTGTAAAATATGATTTCTGTGCAAAATATATGCTTTCCTCTCACCCGATGTTAGCTGGGATTGACTTCAGCCCCCCCTCCCCCCCTCGCGACCCTCTGATTTTCTGCCGTGTCCCCAATTGTTTCCTCCTGTGTCCAATGACCTGTGCCTCCCCAGTGTATTTAAACCACGTGTGTCCCTTGGTTCATTAAATGAGCTTCATATGTCGGTGAGTGTTTGTTTGCCCGTGTCCTGGTCCTCGTTTTGCCTATAGGCATTTCTAATAATTCAATTAAAGGCTTTATTTTTTTTGCCTGAATTCTGCATTTTGAGACCTCCTGTCTCTGGTTCAAAGCCCCCCAGCTGTGCTGCGTTATTCAGGTACCATTTCTCCAAAAACAAAACTTCAAAACTAAACAAATAGGCGAGATCATTTCAAAAATAGATTCAAGTGTTTGTCATTTCTGAGGAGGAGGTACATCATCACTAAATCTGGAACAAAATAACCAGTTTAGTTCTTCTCTTCAGAATTATAATCACAGGGTCATTATGTGCTGTCTTACACATTCTTACGCAGGCGTGTTGCTTAGTGACTCTGCAGTTCCGCATTCAGACATTTCACTTGTTAATTCTTTAGTATTTAACCTGTTTATTGTTGCGTCGGGTGCAGCTGTGGCCTCCACCGGAGCAGCAGTGGGATTTCTGACCAGCTTCTTCTGCTGAAAATCACAAAGGATTTGACTGCATAATGAGACACCTATAACTGTAGAAACTACCAAAATGTGGACTTACTCTACGCCTTCTTCTTCCTGCAGGGGCCATTTAAAGGTTTCCTGGAGGCTTTAGGAAAGCTGCAGAAGAAGTTTTATGACAAAGGCCAGCGCAAGAAGTGCCCCATCCGGACCTACTTGGTGACGTCTCGCGGCGCAGGCAGCTCTGGTACCAGAGCCCTAAAAACTCTGCGCTCCTGGGATCTGGAGATGGACGAGGCTCTCTTGAGGTCAGGGGCACCGAAGGGCCCCATGCTCGAGAAGATCAGGCCGCACATCTTCTTTGACGACCAGATGTCTCATGTGGAGGGGGCAAAAGCAGCGGGGGTAGTAGCTTGCCATGTTCCCTATATGGCAAGTGGGTTAGCTCATAGAGATACTAAGAGATAGTAATGGATATAAAACCCAGCTGATGCAATAGACTCATGTATGATGAAGTAATCCAGCCTTCTAACTAAACAGGGAGGATAAACACATGTCAAACATACATTTGTTCTTAGCTTGGCCTGTATTTGTCCTATGAAGAATTATTAAATGATTCTTTACACTTTAATAAAGTTATTATTGGAAACTTATAAACCATATTTGAGTGAAACTCAATGACATTTGTATTTTTTTGTTATTACATACCAGCTGTCCTCTGTATTATTATCTGTACTTGTATATTTGTTTCCATCTCTGTAAATGTCACTCTACCCTTTAGAAAAACAAAAAAGCCAATACATACAAAGCACATTCAACATCAAGCAAAGGTAAATATTGAGCGTGTAAATATTGAGCGTCTAAAAAAAGTCTATCTTTAAAACTAAACAATAATAATAGTCAGAGTGCATTTCACCAAACTGGATTCAAGTTTTTATCATTTGCGAGATGGTTCGTCATCACTATATTTGGAACACAAGAACAAAGACAAAAGAAACACAAAAGAGTCGCTGAACCAGTTTAGTTCTGACGGCTCATTCAGAGCAAACTTTATATTTTAAAGGATGTAATAATCGTGCCACACCTCACTTTTACCCTGCGACATTCACTCCATCGGAGCATTTGGCCAACCCTCATCTTGAATATAAAAGGCGGCTTGGATGGGAACTTCTACCAAAGAGAGAGAGAGAGAGAGAGAGAGACTACCTAAGGTATCAAGGTAAACTCTAGAACAGCGATTCCCAAAGTTTGGGCCGCGAAGGTACTGCAGGTGGGCCGCGAGAGGTCATTTACAATAAATAAATAGTTTATTAATTTTCAATTTTTAAAAGTTTGAAATTAATATAAAAATATGTATGATGCGGCACATTAGTTATGTGAAACATTAGTTGATGAAGCACAAACAATTTAAACGGAAAGATTAATAAATCAATAAGGCTCTCGCTCGAAACGGCTGCTCTTGTCCGCCTGTCGCTGTTCAACAAACGCGGCGCCCTCTTGTAGTATTAAAGTAAATATACCGCATTTTCCGCACTCCAAGGCGCACTTACAAGGCTTTAATTTCCTCAAAAAACGACAGTGCCTTATAATCCGGAGCGCCTTATATATATGGATCAATTGGTTAATCGGTTGATCCATACTGGTTGCACGCGGCGCTCAAGGCGCGCTGCCAAACACGCCAAAGCTCGTCTACGACGGCGAGATGCTGAGCGGCGCTCAAGCGCGTGAGATGTGGAGCTGCTTTCAGGGCGCGTCGGAGAAACAAAGCGGTCGTTCTCGCCGAGCACTTCATGAGATTAAAGAGACGGTGCCCTTTTCTCTACAGTAGCTGAACCGTCTTAACGGGGAAAATAAGTAAATAACTAATGTTTCACATAACTAAAGTGCCGCATCATGAATATTTTTATATTCATTTCAAACTTTTCAAAATTGAAAATTATAAACTTTATTTATTTATTGTAAAAATGACCACTCGCGGCCCACCTGCAGTACCTTCGCGGCCCACACTTTTGGCTCTACAGGGTTTTATACCTTTCTAATGAAACGAAAACAGGTTCCGATGAGCCTTGAACTGTGCTGGTTAGTCAGGTTTCTCCATAAAGAAAACTTTAAAACCAAACAATAGTAATTGTCAGAGTACATTTCACCAAACTGGATTCAAGTTTTTATCATTTGCGAGATGGTTCGTCATCACTATATTTGGAACATGAGAACAAAGACAAAAGAAACACAAAAGAGTCGCTGAAGCAGTTTAGTTCTGACGGCTCATTCAGAGCAAACATTATATTTTACAGTAAAGTAAATATTGTTTTCGCATTTAAAAGAATGGTGGCATCAAAACCAAAGTAAAAGTAAGTACAATATGAAGATCATAATAGTGTTATTCTGGTATGCAGGGTCTGCCTCTACTTGGAGGTTAAAATATTTATCATTTTATATTGATGTATATCGACAGTAAGGGCCAAATACAGCTGTTTTCGTTGGGCTGACACGTGACCTGCAGACTATCGAGAAACGACGCACTGTTAGAGATGAACACAAGAGGGCGCCAAAGACTCATGCCTAATTCTGCCTTAAAGGAACTTTTATTAAACCCAAAACGTGTGTAATCGGAGATTTAAAAAGACTGAAACTCTGCTAAAAATGAATTTAAGTACGGTTTACCTTGTTTAATAATCCTTCACAGGGCTCTCAAGTGTCACGCATTCAGCGTGACTGTCACTCATTTCGCTCTGCGCATCGTCCGTATCAAGTACATTGATATTTGCCGCGGGGCGAGGGCTTCAGCTGCCTCTTTTTTGACTGTTTGCATCCCTGAGCTACTCATCTGGGTGAGCTGATCCCTGAAGCTCAAACATGTTTATTTCTTCTGGGATTGGGTCTCCTCTCTGCTGAGGAGGAACCTCGGGGAATCCTCAGACGGGTTTGCTCCACAGTCGGGATTTGATTGACCTTATTTGAACCGCAATACTATTCTAATAGTACGGAGTGGTAGTGGTTTCCAACTTGAGAATCTGAAAAGAGTAGCGAGGTTCAACTTGCTCACTCCACAAACACCAGAATTTAAGAGGGTACAGGTTGTGGTGGAATAGCGCAGGGGAGCCGCTGTAAGGCTGAAGTGTAGAGGATCCTTGGTTCAAACCCCCTCTCTCAGATGGAGCACAGTGCACCCAAATATTTGCTCATTAGGCTTTGAAACAGGTTTCAGCATCTCAATCTCAAGTTTAATTACAATAAACAGAGAAATCAAGTGTGATGTGGCCAAATAGTACAAGGAAATGACAGGCTGGCTCAGACCTGCTGTTGTGGGTTCAAGCCCAGTCATGGGAATGTAATAACTTTTGAGGTTCAACTGACAAGCTCAAGGTGCAATAGGACCAATGAAAGCCAAATAGATGTATGGTGAGCTAGCACAGTTAGGATAGCTTCTGTCTCTAACCTGCACTTGCAGGTTGTGGGTTCAAGTCCACTTGTGGAAATGAGTTTTAGTGTTTCACTCACATTCTCAAGGTTAAATAGGAGAAACCAAGTTCCTCAAGTGTGAGCAGGACTGGTGGCGTAGTGGTGAGTGCAGGGGCCAAAACCTCTGTAAGTGCTAGTGGGTTCAAATCCCACTGTTGCCATGTCTTCAGTGCGCTACTGTGGAGGTAGTGGTGGGGGCCTTGTCCCCACTGGATGTTTCAGAGAAGTTGAGCCTGGGGGTTATGCAAAAACAGATGAGGACATGACTACAGTTTTGGTGGCATTTGTCATCATCTTTTGAATGATGATGAAATAATCAATTTCTTTAAGCTGTACATATTGCAGCTTTCAACTTTTTGCCATTGTATTTATGCTACAGGCAAATCAGTTTATAAAGATGACATGTCATTTAGCTGATGCTTTTAACCAAAGCGACTTACAATAAGTGCATTCAACCATAGGGGTACAAACTCAGAAGAGCAAGAAACAAGAACATGCAATTACCTCTAATAAGCCAATTTACAATTTGCTATAGATAAGTGGCTTTACAAGCACAATTTAAGTGCTACAATTTGTTAGTCGAGTTAAAATCTGAAGAGGCGTGTCTTTAGTTTGCGGTGTGAAGGCTCTCTGCGGTCCTGGTGTCTTCAGAGAGCTCGTTCCACCATTTCGGAGTAAGGACAGCAAAGAGTCGTGATCTAGTCGAGTGTTTTTCCCTCAGTGAGGGGGGGACGAGCAGTTTGGTCGTAGTAGTCCAGGCGGGAGATGACTGAATCAGTACCTGCGCTGCCTTCTGAGTGAGAAGGGGACGTATTCTCCTGATGTTGTAGAGCGTGTATCTACAGAATTGTGTTGTCGCAGTTTGACACAACATATTTTGACATTTTTTACAAAGGATCTTTGTTTTTGGTGTAAGTGGAAATCCTTTTACAAAAATGAGGATGAAAAGGGCATGAAAATAAAGGAAACACAAAAATAGATGGATTCCCATTCATTTACATAGAAAATTTGGTTACAGTTAATCAGACATGATTGAAATTTGAAATTAAAGGTTGGCATTTGTTTGTGCTCATTACAGCCGCCTAGAGCATATCATTAAAAGTCAAAATATATTGGGTTGAAAAAAAGTCAAAACACATACGGGGGAAAATGTCATGGGATAGATATTAGGTCAAAAATATTTTAAAAAAAATCACAGTATAGCATGTTGAATAAAGTCATAGAGCATGAAAAACAGTGGCAATGTCTGCCAGCTAGGGAGTCTTTCTGCAGGTGCAGACCAGGGTTCACTGTGCATGTGCTGTTTCTCCACGATTCAGTTTGGAACTCTTTGGCACCAAAGCCCGTCATCCCCGCACAGCAGCGTCATTCCAGTAGACGGGTGGAGGGCGCCCCCTCGAAAAGCGAAAGAACCGAGCGCACAGACGTCAGCACAAGTGAGCCGCAAGCTAACGTTAGCCCATTTAGCAAGGGCCGCCGCGACTAGTCTTTATATTTGTTTGTTTGTGGTGGTTTTGTTGTCGTTTTCGCCCTTCAGCCCCCCCCCCCGGTCGACATCATAACTCAGCAGTCAGTTTTTCATCTAACTATCCTTCTTTAAGAAGGAGGTTTCATAAACAGTCGGTTGGCTGAAGTGACAGATCGGGTGTTTGTCGGCCATCTTGGTTTCGTCATCTGTGACGCTTGTCAACTTGAGCTAAATAGTGTCAAAGTCATTACAGCACCAGGGCCCCATCGGGGAAAGTCTTTAAATATAAAAGAATAACAGGGCTCTCAAGTGTCACTATTTTCGGTCTTTAGTCACGCACTCAAATTTCTCACGCAAAAAAAAAGGCATCAAATGCTGTGTCATATGATGGTTTCTTCTACCTTTCAAAATAAAACCAGGGTTTTAAATGCATTTTAAAAAAAACTTGATATAGCATGTATTACAATCAAATATGACAGTTAAGGTTATTTTTTTTTTATTTTAACAGTTATATTGATCAAAACCGCCTTTTACCATTTATATACAATAGTTTATTAGAGTAAAAGTGGAGAATTGAATGAAAACTTCCAATTCTCCATATGGCACAAGTCTGAAAACACCTTGCTGTAGTACCCTGCACTGCCACCAGGAGGCAAAGCCTCCTCAGCAACAAGTCTCATGTTATCTTTACACAAATAGTCAATATCGGGATCATTTTCTGTTTAGCTTGTCTGATGAACATCAAATGAACATGGCTGCAGTATCACTAATAAGCTTTATAGGATCCATGGTCTAAAATGCATAAAAGAAAAACATTCAAACCGTCAGGGATCGCAAAAATGCTGCTTAGCAAGTCATCCAGTTCAATTGGTGCCGTTATTGGCAGTAGAGTCATCTTCGCATGTTGATTCTTTTTTTGCTTTTTTTTTTCTGCCGCCGCCGATGAGGCTGACCAGCCATCCCACTGCTGCACCAACGCCGGTCACAGCTGCAGTGACAGCCCCTGACAGACCAACTGCACCTGAAGCAACACCAAACAGATATACATCAGAATTTGGGCTCCAGTAGGGCAGTCTACATGAAACAATGGCATCTTTATCTTCACAATGTAGTAGTATTTCAGAGAAGTCCACACGCTTCCTTGAATACTTTTTTTTTCAGTTCGCAAACAGTTTGCTTGTTGTTGCACTTTGAAGGTAGACAATGAGGTGGAACACAGCACGTGGATACAATGCAAATATCCAAGAATTGTCTTTACCTGCAGCCTGCAGAACAGCCACGGTGCTCCCTGCGGCCACCGCCCCCCCGTTGGCCACGGCGGCTGCTGACATCATGCTGGCAGCGTAGGAGCCGGCAGCTATCCCAGCTGAGGTGAAACCTACGGCTCCCAGAACCAGAGGGGCCCCGACCACGGCGACCACTGCACACGGACAACAGAGCGGAGGGACTTTGAGGTGCGTTATGGAGTGTCGCTTTAAAATGAATGATGCATGTGGAGAAGAAGTATTGAAGAGCTGATAATCACAGGTGATAAAGACTCACCTGCTCCGGCTCCGGCTCCCACTACAATGCCGGCTGCAGTCTCTAAAAACACAAAAAGGGGGCATTGAGCACATTATAATTTTATACAAAACACAAAAGTCGAAGTCAAACACTCACTCGGGTCCATTAGTTTTTTCTGCGGTCGGACGAGCCCCGAAACTGCAGTTTCAGTTTCTGAGAAACGAAAGTTTGTATAAATGTGAACACAAGACGGCGCCACCATTGACATGGGTGTGTAAAATAAAATAAAATAAAATAAAATAAAATAAAATAATCCACGGGACTACAGCAACAACGGTTAAAGTGCAAACAGACAGAGCTGAAGAAACGAGATGAAAAAAATAAAATAAAAAAGCAGTGATAAAAAGTAACAAGAATCAACAACTGAAAGATTATGACTTAACGTCATACAACTACCTCAAAGATCCACATTACGTCATCATAGAATAACAAAAGGTTAAATTAATTCTGGTTCGAGTCTTCAGGTATAAACGTTGAAAATGAAGACACTTACTCACAAAAACCAACAGTCTTCGTCTCAACACTCGACAGGTGACAGGTAAAGTCGAACGGGAACTTGTTCAGCGGACCTGATCACGTGACGGCTTTCTGCGCATGCGCGCAGCGTCGAGGGCGGATGGAGTGAAACGCCCACTGCCGCCGTGACCGCGTAGTGGCGGAGAGAGAGAGAGAGAGAGAGAGAGAGAGAGACTCGCACGACCCGGTGCCGTTTAACGCCGTCTGTCTGCAGAGCCGCGCGGTGCGGTCCGACCCGAGGAGGCCGATGTCTGTGGCTAAAGCCAAACACACGGTCCCCAACCCGGTAAGAGGCGCATTATTATCATCATCATCATCATCATCATCGTTATTATCGTCATCCACCTCAGCCCTCTGATGCATCGCGCAACGATCAACAGACGCTCACGTCGCCGACCGCTAAGGTTTCGTGTTTACGTCCGACTACGTCTGTCGGTAAATGCAGGCCGGCGGTCCGATGCTTCGGGTAGCTCGTGTTCCTCTAACGCCCACCCCTCCACCCCGCAGGCGATCCCATACACGGGGCCCATACCCGGAGGCCTGCACCCCGGGGAGATCATCATCATCCAGGGCACCGTGCCCCCAGACGCTGACAGGTGAGCGGGTGCACGAGATTTGTGATACTTTAATCTGGGAAAACGTGTTTAGCTCAGTGGTCAGTGCAACGGTTAAAATAACATTCACAAACTCATAGGTATTTTCCTTTTGTGGCATTCTCACAACACACATACACTGGGGAATGAATACATGATTCAACATCTGCAGGTATATTCTGTAAACTTTGTTATATTTCTGTGCAGTTTTCAAATAGATATTTAATTAAGTACGCTATCTGCTAGATTCATTCCTGTTCTCTTTATGTAAATTGGTTACTTTTACCCCAAAGTCTCTCTGTAAATCCTAAATATATCATAATATCAAGGACCCAAACTTGGCACATCATCCAAGACCTCTTCAGCACAGCTGGATCAAAGTGCAAGAGGCTCTCTGTTGTCAGCAACGGCGAATGAATGAAGAAGCACCCAAAACCAAAGCATTCAGAAATAAATGAGCGAAGAAATAAATTCTTTGGTAACGCTAGTTTTGTCAAATTCTTAAGCCAAATAATAACAAATATTTTCTTCAAAAACATCTGGAGCCAGACTTGCCCTCGGGGCCTCTATAGGTTGATATGGTGCATAAAGTAAAAACACCGTGAGGCGGATCTCTCCCGCTGCGGGTTGCCGGGATTCATTTCATCTGTTAAATGAAAGGAAAATAAACCCACAAAACATCGCTGAAGTCGTCGCGATGACCCTGCCTAACCCTCCTCCCCCCTCCCCTCCCCTCCCCTGCCTCCCCTCTGCAGGTTCCAGGTCGACCTGTCCAGCGGCTGCAGCACCAAGCCGCGCTCCGACGTCGCCCTCCGCTTCAGCCCCCGCTTCGAGGGCTCGCCCCGCGTGGTGTGCAGCTCCCTGCTGCGGGAGACCTGGGGCGAGGAGCAGACGCTCCATCAGCTGCCCTACAAACGCGGGGCGCCCTTCGAGACCATCATCCTGGTGCACCAGGACGTCTTCAAGGTCGGCGACCGCGCGGCGTCCAGGGCGAAAGGCGTCCTCAGAACACCAACGTACCTTCAGGAAGTATGATGCTAAAAAGGCTGGTTTTCACCAACAGGTGGCAGTGAATGGGACTCACCTGCTAGAATACAAGCACAAAATGCCGCTAAACAGGGTGGACACCTTCTCCATTTCCGGGAAAGTCAGGGTGCACGCGATTGGCTACGTCCCAAACTCGGTAAGCTTTCTTTTCGAGACACATGTGATTAATCATTTCTAAATGTTTACTCATTATTTCCCTTGTTTTTTCTGCCAGGCAATATATTCAGAATCAGGTGACTTGGTGAGTTTTTCCTCTGATCTCCATTCAGCCTCTGTGCCTAAATGTGTCGCTTTTCATAAATGGTACCTTTGTTTGTGCACTGGAGATTTATCAATGGAGCTCTTAACGGTTCAAAGGGGAACTCTGGTTTATTAGTCAGTTTTGAAGCCGTAAGAACAAAGTCATGTGGTGCAAAAACCGTTAGGCCTCAAGCAGTCCAAAGGTTATAAACAAAAGCACTTTATTAGGAAGGAAAGCACGCAAACTGTTGCTTATATTGAACTACTCAGGTTTCATCCTTATTTCAGCGATGATGCAGCATTCCCACATCTTAATGTTCTGCATCCATAATCTGATGCATTGCTCTTTGCAACTCCTTTGAAATCAATTAGTTGTGATAAAATCAATTTTTCTGGGACATTTGCTGGTTCACACACACCAAATGTGGTGTTTGCTATTCTACACCACTGCTATTGGTGGTGAACTGAATGTTTTGGATTGATGCCTGGAAAAAATAAGGCATCTGATTTGTCATGAAAAGATGCCGGGAATCTGTAGATTTAGCGCCAATAAAACCCAGTGGTTTAAATGTATCAGCCGTTGTATTCTCCCTCCAGAGCCTCCCTTACAAAGGCAGCGTCCTCAAAGGACTGAGCCCCGGACAGCACATCACGATCAAAGGACAGGTCAGCATGTACCCCCACAGGTAAAGGCCCAACGCACCCAGCTCATCCCGACATAACAATTTGCCCCCTGGGAGGTGATTTACCTTTTTGTCGTTGTTGTTTTTCTTCCAGTTTTACAGTGAACCTCCGCAGCAGCAGGACGGAGAACATCGCGCTCCACCTGAACCCTCGCATGAAGTCGGGCGCGTTCATCAGGAACTCGTACCTGAGTGAGTCCTGGGGACAGGAGGAGCGCGAGCTGCCCTTCTTCCCCTTCTCGCCGGGGGAGTACTTTGAGGTACGAGCCGCCGCCGCCGCCATCGAAAAGCTGACGGTTCATTCATTCTCAACGGGTGTGTGAGCGCCCCGCCACGATTGACCACCCCGCAGCGTCGTGTCTTCCTCAGGTTCTCATCCTCTGTCAGCCTCACCAGTTCAAGCTGGCGGTGAACGGCTCGCACTTGTTCGAGTTCAGGCACCGGGCGCAGGACCTGAGCGCCATCGACCAGCTGGAGATCATGGGGGACCTGGAGCTCAACGACGTGAAGCTGTGGTGACCTGCGCCTCGCCGACGGACGCCGGCGTGATCTGGTTAGCGATGCTAAATTAGCTTAGCCACAATGACCCCCAGGAAAAAAACCAATGGGATGCATATCCTGTACTGACCGCAGGTCAGGGTCACTGATTTAAGCTAGTCTAGCATTTTGGTGACCAAGGACCATGCGGACACATGGCGTGTTACGGTCCATGCGTCCGCCCCCCCGGCTGGGAGAGCGATGCATGAAAGGTAGCGGTGCCGGCGCATCAGGCCGCGAGGTGAAGCTCTGCGGGGACGCGACCCTGATGAATAAAACACGGAAATATGGGAATTGTTGGCTTTGTTTAAATGCAAAGACAGACCACTAATACAATTTAACTGGAGGCTCCAAGCTTCTGCAGAAAGGCCAATGTACTTATTTACTGTATAGATAATTTCAAAAAGCTTTGGAAAATGTCTCATTACATTCTGTATCTGCTTTAAACGGTCGTATGAAAGCCTCCTGTGCATTTATGTAACATATAATGGTGCAGCTGAAATCAAGCACAGTGCAGTACAGGGTCAGTTTAAAATATAATTATTTCAATAACCTAGTGAATGACATGTTGCAAGCTGTAGAATATAGTACAACCCTGCATCTGCGAAATATCTTGTATCAAGGAAAAGAAAATCTGTGATATGGTTTTGTTTTGCATTCTTGGTTGTAATTGTTGTAAAATTTGTATGAAATATTTATGTCATAAATTATTGTCATCATGTAACATGTTTAGATGGTTTTGAGTTAAAATTGCATTCATTGATATGAGTGAAATCTTGAGCACAGCTGTGATCACAACGCACATTTTCACCATTGATCAATGTGTGCTAATAATCGCTCTCCTTGTGGCCAAATGCTTCTCTTTCTGCTCCAGCTAACTTTGACAGCCAACTGGTAATGAGTGGCGAAACATGTTTTGGTCGACAAATTCTTTTGACTGGAAAGCAGGTCGACGAGTGCAGACCGGATGAACCAAAAACAGGAACCTCGCAGGCCGGGAAAATCCCAAAGAATGAGCCGAACCAACGCTGCGTAGAGCGTGATGACAAACATCTGCAATGAACCGAACGGTAGAATTTAGTTGAACGCAGACGCTCCATCTGCAGTACTGTCATACAACCACGAGGTGGTAGAAGATGATCCAAAATGGATTTACTGCCTCTTAGAGACACCTTTACAAACAGCTGCTAGTCAGTCAAACTTTAATACATATTACTGTGAACTGAGGATTCTTTAAAGGTGAATGAGACACAAAAGAAGTCAACTTTGAACCACCATAAATGTTTAGCAACAATCATCTGACACGCTTGTTTTTTAAATTATGTACCACATAAGCACACATTATGCCTTTAAACCTTCAATTTGAAAGCCATCTCATCTGATAAAAGTTGGTTTTATTAATGTCCACAAGAAATGTAATTTGTAATGATCATGGTACAGTACAATAGTCTCTTGTTTTATTTTTTTTTACATAGAAAAGCCGGATGATATGCAACGTGATGACATCAACTATTGCACTGCTGAGAATGTCTAAGAAAAAAGGCAAAAGACACTTTCCAATCAGCCACAGGCAAGACGGCAAAAGTTTGTTTTTACAAAAAGATCTGTGATGCGTCGACAAAAATCCATCATTTTGACCAAAAATGTCAGCTACTGTCAAAACACGATTTGGCCTGAAAGGGCTCTCGGCCATAATCCACTTTGGAAACAACCCTCCCCTGTCCCGTTTCCAGGAGACAATGCAATGCTTCTCCTGTGAAGTGAAAACAAAGAAGCTCATGTTGGAGTTGTCATACAGGCCACCGCACTAGAAAACATCTCTCCTGGTTGGAAACGGAGACGCAACAGGACAAATGTTTCAGTTAAATTCCATTCAGTTAGTAGCAGCTGAATTTAAACCGCCGCCCTTTTCAGTTCTCCGGTCCTGCTGAGGTGAGACCGGGAAGCGGAGTCGAGGGTGGGGGACGAGAGTTGGTCCCAAAGTGGCAGTTCCAAGGGTGGGACATACGTTTCCAGAGGGTGGAGGTGGGGCGAGGAGGAGGAGGTGGTGGTGGTGGGGATGGGGGGGGGGGGGGGGTTTACATCCCATCAGACGAAGCTGAGCTTTACCAATCCTCTCACTGAGTCCTCGTGTAACGAGTCCTGGCTGGCCGGGTTGTAGAAGCCCGCCTGCATGGCGTGGTTGTGGCCCATGGGGCTGCCGCAGGGCAGCATACCCGGGGGCGAGGGCACCTCCTCCGGGGTGAGAAAGTGGTGGTGGGCCACCGGCTCTTGGAGCGGGTGGCTGTGGTTGTGCGAGTGACCGTGTCCGTGGATCGGCAGCATGTCGGCGGCCTCGTGGCAGCCGAGGCTGGGGATGGACGTGGGAGGGGTGGGCTGGCCGAGGGGCAGCGAGGCGCACGGGCCGCCCAGGGTCAGGGGGCCGCGGCCGGGCATAGAGCCTCCGTTTTCGGGGCAGGTTGTCAGGATGACTGGCTCGCTGCTGTGCTGCTGGAGGAGCGGCGTGGCGGCGGCCTGCAAAACGAATTTGGTGCCCTGAATGCAATGGTCTTGGTCACACTGAGAGAATGCAGGAAGGAAGCAGGAGGCAGAAGATGGAGAAGATGCCGCCGGTGAAGGACGGAAGTAGAAAGTAAAAAGAAAAACAACAGCGAGGCGGCGTTGGAAAAGTAGACGGCAGTGTGTGAAAAGAAAACAGGAGGAAGGGGGTTGGTGATTGGTGGAAGGGAAGGAAAGAGAGAGAGAGAGGGGGGGGGGGAAAGAGGTTAGTACCCTTATGAGAATGCAGAACCACACAAAGAACCTGCACCAGTTTGTACATCATCCACATGGAGGAAAAAAACAGAGCTGAGGTCAAGAAACAAGAGTTAAACAGCCGGCACTGCTAATCACAGCGAATTGATCTCTATTGTAGAAACTGGGTCAGGATAAAGCAACTCATCAATACCACGTGTTGGCTGCAGGAGATTAGCTTCATCCCGATCAGCCTCTTATCACCACACAGCGATCATGAATATTGGAGACCAGATGAAGAGGGAAGTTCAGGAGGAGTTAAAAAGCCACACGAACAAATCAGTACTCTGATGCCTCTTTCCGTCCCAGAGGAAGAAACAAAAAAGAACAGTCAGGAACTTCTCACCTTTATCTTAATCTCACTGACCTAAAAGGAGCAGATTACAGATGTGATTTAAGATGTTGAGCCAAAGTGGAAGAAACGATTCTAAGGATTAACGAATCTCATGGGCTGCGAGCATCAGTTGTTGAGCCCGACCTCACTCCAGCTGGCCGAGAGGGGTCATTGGGCCGAGGTGACATGGACGCCCCGCTCACAGAATCGTTAACATGTCGGTGTTTCGACATGTTTTCGAAGAGTCGGGAAATTCTCACTATTCAGAAGATAAAACCAGAAAATATATATTTTCGGAATCTTTGTAATTTGATTGAAATTATACTTTCACTGGAGGCTAAAATGACTGCTGTCAATCAATCAAACACCCCCGCCCCCAATCCACAGGCTTTCATGTTATCAAGGTTACACTGTTTCCATGGCGACCGCTTGCGAGGCTTCTTCGTAGTCGTTTTCAGCTGCATCACAGCCAAGAGCTGCTCACAGAGAAACAGGCTTTCGGTGCCCAGATGCATCAACCGGCTCAGAACAAAGGGAACGTCAATCTGCCAATTACCCAGAATCCATCCCGTTAAGCGTTCAGCTCGACCAGTCGCTGGTTGAATTATTCACCTAAACGAAGGCTGTCTTTACTCTGTACGTACACTGGGTGGCGCTGTTCTTGGGTCCTGTGCCCACCTGTATGAGGTGTCGGACCCCAGAGGGTGAAAAGGTTTTGATCACCGCCGCCTTGAGAGTGATTTGCTTCCACGGTGAACAAAAGAGTAACTGTACACAAACAAATAAACTAACCAACAGCAAAGTGAACGTGTCGCTGGATTATGTCATCAATCAAAAGGTGAACGAGGCCTGCAGAACAGATCCGGAGGAACCAGCGGCTCAGTATCCAGGTAATGGGGGGCTCAGCGGCGGCTCCCAAACCTTCCTAATATTACAATAGAATAGTAACATCATTTACGGTTTTGTAGGGATAAAGTTTCTGTGATACTAATGTGGAATGTTAGCGAGTCCAACAAATGGATATTAAGTCAACACATAACTCTGTTTCGGTGTGCACATGAACGGCCAGCAGCCGGCACAATAGGACAAGTCGGGCCGCTCACCAGCTCGCCGCTGCGGAAAGCAGACGGCGCTTACTTCTTCTACATGTGCTGACGGACGGGAACCTTCTCACGGCTCTCAGACAAGCTGTCCTCTCACTCAGGACCCGGAGACGAACGACATTCGTCTCCACGAGAACGGACAGGAGGAGGTCGAGTACGGAGGAGAGCGACGAGGTGCCCGTGTGTGCGAGTTGGCCTTGAACGTAGCGCGTAACGGCTAAACTGAACAACAGGGCACTTGTTGCTTCTATTCAAGCAGCGGCGGGGACAATGTCCTCTTCACCACACCAGCTTCTCCGGGAGACTTTAAGTTTCAACCGTACAAGAGACGTCTGTCTACTGACTGTGGGGTACTTTGTGAGATCTCAATGTATGTTATATCTCTGGTTGGAAGACTGTGATCATGAGATTATTGTCATTGATAAACATCACCGGGCTTTGGGACCACTCTCAGCTGCGAGGTGGGAGGGGCCAACGTCCTCCATCAAGTCACACGGGCACTTCTGCTGTCTGAACAAACATGAAATCCCAGCCCACTTGTGACAACTCTGTAGTTGCACCGGCCTGAAGTCATCGCCCTGATAGTGGGATGACTGGGGGAATAAAAGGAGGGCCGTATCTCACCATGTGGCCCTGCTGGGACTGCGTTGCCCCGTACGTTGTGATGCCGTTGGTTGGCGGTGCCAGCTGTGGCGCGTCCGACCGGACAAAGCCCCGTCTGTCGATGAGGCTGGACGCAGAGAAACAAAAGAGGAAGGCATTCATTTACAAATGATTACGCAAAAGGCAGCAGGTCAATGAATACAACTACAGCCGGACTGACTCACTGCAAGGTGGGAGGGGTTAGCAGCGCGCAAATGACCTTTGTGTGTGTGTATACGTGTGTGTGGTAATGAGGCTGCGTCAGATACAGGTTGATCTGACACAGCCTCTGCCACACACACACACACACACACACACACACACACACACACACACACACACACACACACACACACACACACACACACACACACACACACACACACACACACACACACACACACACACACACACACACAGCGAGCAGGGTAATCATTTAACAGAGTGTGTTGACAGTGCGGTCCAGCGGGACTCTGCTGGATTCAGGCGGGAGCGGTTTGCTGGAATCACAGAGACCGACTCTGCGACCCTGCAGCAGGCAGTTTGCGTTGCGGGTTTTGGTTCTTGGGTGGCATAAAAACGTAGCATAGCCCGACACTGAGGTGATACATTCCTTTCTTACCGGTGGACCCAGCTGTGCAGCGTCTGCAAATAGCCACATAAACACACACGGCCATATGGCAACCACCGGTGCACTAAGGACTCTCCTTCACCGCCCACTGGAATCATTATCGGTGACTTATGGCTCGTGATGCCCGCAGCACAGCCGCACCCGCTGACACATCGATGCCACGTTTGTGTTCTGTACATGTGTATGTAAGTTAAACCAAAGGCCGCGTGCTCTTGGATGAATGCAAAAGGCAAAAAGGCAGCCGGTCGCACAGGATAAGATTGGTGACGTCTTGACAGCGTCCTTATGAGTCCTGTATCTACACAGCGGGACGTGCACCGTAAAGATAAGAGCAGATAGAATGCGTCTGTGGAGCGAGCGAGCACGGACACACGTCAAACTGTGATGAAAGAAAAGAAAGAGCAGTGTCAGCCTCAGGAACGGAGAAGTGAAAGAAGCTGGGAGGGGAATGTGCCATGTTTTCTGACATTTACAGTCACGTGGACCCGAGAACGTAGCTGCCACAGTTGGCAAGGATTTTTGTCAAATCACATGAACAGTGTGAAATCTAATATACTAGACCAACTTTGATCTTGGATTCGGTTCAAACGGGCTTGAAAGACTTTCCGCTGTCGCTGTGTCTTAGTAGCTATGTATAGAGAAAAGGCTGCAGGCAGACGGCTTTCAAAGCCGCTCTTCACATCAAAAGGAGTCTCGACTAGCGGTTCTATTTCGGCCTTTGGACAGAACTCAAAATTACAATGGGGGGGTTTTCAGGGGGGTGTGACTTACAGTCAAGGTGAAATATCACTGAATGGGTTCTCTCAGGCAGTGTATGCTCATCATGTGGGAATCTAAGAATCACTAAACACACACACACACACACACTCGTCGTACCTTGGTGGCAGGGGTCCACACAGTGCTGCACAGCAGTTGGTGAATATATTGCCATAGCTGTATGGGTTATAGTTGTCCTTTCCTCTTTTAGAAGACCACGAACCTTTTATCTGGAAGAGACCGTGCAACAAAAAAAATGATCCGATGTGCCACTGCGAGAAAAACAACGACTTGTGAGGTTAGCCCTGTTCTGATGGTCCACAGCGACACATGACTGCGTCCTACCTGCCTGCCTTTAGCATCGGTCTAACAAGTATAAAATAAATAAAGACAAAGAATCATGAAAAAAAGAAGGCTTTGGATTAAAAGCTTTGGAAAAACAAATAATAAATCGTTCTATTTTCTGTTAATGTGTTGGGAAAAAAAGGCTATTTTCCTGCCTGCATTGCAACAAAAATGATTATTTTTAGTGCATGCGTCATTATGTCTGATGTCTGCTTCGTACTCACATCTTCATTGGTGGTCTGGTTGGAGCTGATCAGGTAGGTGTGGAAGCCTGAGAGGCCCACGATGGACCAGACCGAAAAGAAACACACCACCACCTCCAGCACAGTGACACAACGTCATCAAGGAATAATTGTTTCACTGAATGGGAGAACGTCTTGAAAACAAAACTCTCGGCAGAAAGGAAATAATGTCGAGGCGGAGACACGCGGAGACACATGGCGGGCCTTATGGAGCCAGCTGGCCCAGTGACCTACAGCCTCAGGGTCGCGCTCCTCCGGCCAACAGTTCCTAGTTACCAGCTCATCTGGCCGAGACTGCAGGACGTCGCTAATTGTCTCTGCTCCACATGAAAACAGAGACACTGATGAATCCGGCCTTTGCTAAAAGCAAAGAAGAAGAGAAAGCAGCCACAGTGGCCCGTCATTCCGTCTTGGGACACATCTTAAAATAAGACCTCGGCCTTAATCCCCCTCTTCTTTTTATTTCTTCCTCCTTAGCAAGGACAACACATCATTCATCATTCACCAAGTACAAGAACAGTGGCTGGCCACACATTTCTCTGCCAGGGAAATAGTTACCGCACTGAGACAGACAAAATGGTGGAAATGGATAGAGAGGGGTGGGGACAGGCAGCGTCATAGCCTTAGAAATAGCATTGGTATTTAGATTAGATCAATTGTCTTTTGTGTATCAGTGGATCCTCGCTCAGACTATTTTATTGAATTGATGAATTGAGAGCAGATCCAGGCCAAAGTAACGGTCCCTCTCTAGTCGGGGATTGTGTTGTTGGGGAGGTGACGATGGATCAGACCTCTGACATTAGGTACCTGCTTCCAACCAACATTTACACTTAAAGACTTACGGTCAAGTGGGGAGAAACGGAACTTCACGCCAATGTTAAAAAGTACTATAAACCTGCAGAAAATGGCACGAGTCGTAGACGTGAATGCGTTGAAATGTTGTGGGAGTATTTTCGCTGAAATACTTAGTGCAGCCACTATGGACAGAGAAGTATATAAAGAAAGACAATCACACGTAAAAGGACACTTGTTTGCACAGTAAACGCCAACAGTCAATCACTGAAAGGATATCTGGCAGGACTGTCCTTAAGAGCGCTGAGGAACCCAAATCGATGGGAGCCTGTGAACAGAGAGAGGACAGTTTCCATTAGGACATTACACACTTTTGGCCATTACTTACACGCCACCACGCGCTCTCACACACAAAGGTGCATATCAGCATTAAACAACACCCATTGAGTGATATTGGGTACCACAACACACTCTGGGGCCATTCATTAGCTAAAGTCCCTTTGTTGGAGGAAAGCTGCGGCGTCAAGATCCACTGTGCAGGGCGTCGTAAAGCGCTTACGTTACTTTAGTGAGGACGGACTCAGAAGGAATAGTAGCAGCTTGGTCATCTGTAGCTGGGAGCGATCTTCTTTCCCATCTCCATTTTCTTATTTAGAATTACGAGCACAGAGCAGCATGCATGAGGTGTGATGACAATGATAATATAATCATTGTCATAGTCTCTGTAGAGTAGTTGCGTGTAGTTATTGTGTTGTGAGAACGAGATACTGCATTCAATAAAGGTTGTCGCAGTAAGTCTATACTGCGTATAGACCATGGCAGACTACTGCCATAAGAGAGTCAAGAGCTTTTATTAGTTTGTATCTATTTGTATCTTATCACCTTAAATGATCTAACACCAACATACTGCCTATTATAGAGATTATTATAGATTAAGTGTCTGATTCAGTTAGATGTTGCAAATGTTTTTACGTTTCTTCTGTCCAGGCTCATTTTGGACTTCCAGGTGGGTATATATGTGCGTGTGTGTATATATATATATAAACAGAATAGTGACATGAAATAAGTTTGCACTGGAGGACTGAAAGTAACTCTGACCTGAAGGTTTTTTGCAGATCTGCATATCTTAGTACATAGAGTACATCATAGTAAATAGAGTAAACACTGCTGTATATCATAGTACATGGAGTACTTCACAGCAGATAGAGTACACACCGCTGTGTAAGGTAGTACATAGAGTAAAGTGAGTATTTAGTGAGTCTGTCAGCGCTTTGACTGAACACAGTAGTGCTACAATCTACAGAGAGAAAAGAGGATTAATCAGCAAATCATTTTAAAGTGGATAATCTTTTCCTGTCATTTCTTTCCCAGAGCAACGTTGACCATTAATGGTCATTTATGCATAAACAAGCCCCCCCCCCCCTCCCACTGGTCCACTGCCTGCTTCCAGCTGGAGAGATGGGAACAAGCCAGAATGCTGCCGCTTTTCACAACGCCCACTTACAACCTGCTGGCTCAAAACACACAAAGAGCAGACAGGGGGGGTGTGAGTGTGCGTGAGTGTGTGTCTGCAGCATGCCTGAGCATATGTCGTCCCCCCCCCACCCTCCCTCCCTCCCTCGGCTACTTACGTAAAATGATGTGTGTGATGACGAAGGAGAAGATGAAGATGGTGAGGAAGGAGAGCGACAGAATGAACATGTAGAAGAAGCGGTAGTTCCTCCTTCCCACGCAGTTCCCCACCCAGGGACAGTGGTGGTCAAAGCGCTCTGCGTGGACAGAGAGACAGAACCTTTAACAACAGCCGTTTATCTGCCTCAGGTGTCCTTGTGTCCACAGACCACGTTACGCACACATCGAAATCAGTTCAGAAAATCTGTTTTTTTCCAGAAGACGTCTGCGATTAGTCCTCGCTTGAATAGTTCAACCAGGTTTTTTCTTTTTAAAAGATACCAACAAAAAAAGAAAATTGAAGAAAGCAGGTTATTTTAGTGCATTCTAGCCCCGAGAGACCGGATCTCTACGAAATTGGGGGAAAGGGGAAGCGTCCTCCTGGGTCTCGGCATAACAACATACACATTTTTCACATAGCGCATGTTGGCTATTTATAAAACAGTAAAAAAAACGGACCAAACATGACTGGCTGAAAACGTCTGTGTGAAAGACGCACTTTGCTGGATACAACAAACCAGCAGTCCTCAGTTTAGGAATATTGCTCGGCGTTCGAGGGTCGTGTTGTCCGGACTGCTGGGTTCCTTCCATAGAAGCTCGGCCACCTTGTTACGCAGCACGCATCTGAATAAGGACCTACGTGCTGCACACAACGCCTCTTTTGTTGGAATATCGCCATTAAGTGAATAAAATGCTGGGAATTCCAAAATACTTTATCTAATGTACTTAAAGGAGAAAACGTGCATCGGAATGCAGTCTGAAAAGTTAAATTACGTCATGAATTGAATGTGATAATGCTGAAAGTTATAATAGTCACGAAAAGACCTCGGACGGTGGACCGGCTGCCCCTTATTGTAGTTACTTAACTTATTAATCACAGCCATTATTTGTTTAGTAAAGTGGTACGACCTGCTTTTGTCTCCACTAGTCAATGCCTCGATAAAGTCAACTCGGCCTCTAGTCAGACGTCATGAAATGGGACGAGCACGGTTCTGTGATCTGTACGGATGCTCCCTCACTCATTACACAGCTTAAGGTTAAACATCACAGTGTGAAACTGAGTTTCACTGATGATTATTATCCGGCAATATGCATAAAAATTGGCATTCATGCTTGTCCAGTCGCTGATTTCTTAAAGGTCAACAATTGCGTACAAAAATACAATCTTTTTTTTTGCTTTTATAGTTTGAATTGTGGGGTTTTATTAAAAAAGAAGACCTTATAACAAAGTAAGGACATTTTGAATATTCTATAGTTGTTTTTTTTAGAGCACTTGAAATTACTTTTGCAAAGAATAAATAGCCCGAAGCCTTGTAGACCAGCTGCTATAATCAAACAAAAAGGGATCTTTATGCATCGTCAATATTTTGTGCTCTGATGCGTGACTCTGATCCGTGGTACAATCTGAACCGTGAGTTTTATGATCAGTCAAACCACTATTTCAGATCTGATCAGCACATCGGTATCAGATGCTCGCAGCGGACAGCAAAGCAGCATCGTCCTCACCAAGGGGACTTAAAGTAAAACCAAGGGCTTGCAACTGACAGTTCTATCATGATCCAACACATTGTTATTAATGTGCCAATTTGTTTGATCTATTCTTAGTTTGCTCAGATAGCATCGTTACTTTTCATTAGATCATATTCGAATGACCTGTAATTATACAAATCAGAGGACGGAAAGCAACAGAAGGACATAAAATCGGTAAAAGGATTTTAAATAACTTTATGCTCATTTAGTTTTGTTTACATGGTATTTTCATTTTTTCTCCTTTGAATTCCCACAGGCTCCCTCTAAATTCTTAAATGTCCATGGAAAGTTTTGACCTTGAGCAATCCGAGAGCCACCCGACTGACACAGACACCTTGTTAGCACAGTCGTATCCGTGCAGTATATGTAGTGACGGAAAAGCGTCACAATTCTGCACACTTCTATGCTTAGTCTCTCACTCCCACGGGAATAACACTCTTTAAAAAGGAAGTGAGTACTAGATTAATATCCACAGGGGAGGCCCTATCCATTCTGCCTGCTTACTTATTTAAGGGCTCGTGTTAGCGGATCCAAAAAGGTAGACACGGAGAGAAGGCGGAAGCACTCGCATCTCTTTTTCACCGCTAATGCAATTAGTTGCTCTCGTGGATTCTTACGGACCTGCAACAGCCATTGAACCAAAATGTCAAAAAATGACTACGCTGCCGCCGGTCTGTCTGCTTTCCTGCCAGTGTGCATCTGCCACCGCCGACAACAAGCTCATCATTCTTTCTTATGTCTACTACTTCCTCATCTCGGTCTCGCAGGTTTTCAATCAGCGCCATCTGACAAGGAAACAGACATTGTAAGACGGATTGGTGTCTGATGAGGGAGCATCACAAAACACACACACACACACACACACACACACACACACCTCATCTTTTAGAGATTGTCTCGCTGTGCTCCTTCCTTTGTCTCCAGGGAACGCCGTTGTGACGAGCAGTAAAACGCAACCATTATGCTGTTTTTTCCCCTCTTCCCTGTTGTTCTCATGGTAACCATTCCCTCCTTTCCTCTGGCTGAATGGGAATGCATCCAAGCTATTCTACAGCATACTCCCCTCAGGTATGCAGTATAGACTAAACATACATATTGTCCCTTGTCATGAGTTATTGCTAAAGCAGGTTAAATATGATTAAAAATGAGGATTTGCAGTCTGTTTAAACACAGATGCAGATATGAGGGGAAGTGTTTATAGTGTTTATTAAAACGGGATTGTTGGGTTTTCCCGTTTCTGTTGACAATACTAATTTCTCTAAAGGTATTTGGGATCAATAAAAGCGCAGACAGCCGAACACGGCGTTCACTCACCCACACAGTTGTCACAGAGGCTGCAGTGGGAGGCTCGGGGCGGCCTGAAGATCTTGCAGGTGAAACAATACTTCAGCTTGACCGTCTGGCCGTTGATGACCACCTCCTTGGTCCTGGGAGGAGGCCTGTAGCCGGTGCTGCCGTTAGCCACGTCTTAGTAAGAATGAAGAGAAAAACAAGAAAGAAACATAACAAATCGAGTTGACAAGGCAGATAAAAAAATAGAAATGACCACAGTAAGAAAAAACTAAATCTGAATGAAAGAATGGACTACAATTACTACTACATCACAGCTTTAGTAAAAGTAAAAAGGTCCATTATTATTAACATGATCTATTAGAATCCACTAGATTGTACGCAGGGTGAAGGGAGTCTTCGATCGACTGATATGCAATTATCTCTAGCTGTGCTCAAGGTACACGTCATTATCCCCGTAGATGAAGGCTCGAACATGTACGACCCACGCAGCTCATTATATTGAATTAGATACACCAGTTTAGCTCTTTTGTATAAGATGTACAGATTCAGCATCACACCCTCTGTGCTGCAGATGAAACAACCAACCCAAAGCAAGCGTCTCCGTCTCTTCTGAATACCGAGAAATCGGCTGCTGCCGTGACTTAAAACCTGGTTTAGGAATTCAACCCTCAGACTATTGAGACAAAAGAAAAGAAGAATGCTGGCAAACTGCTTCAAACGGCCTCTGGTGGTGTAAGCCAGCTGTGATGACAGACCAAAGGAGGAGAATCGGCGCCACATAAAAAGGTAGATTCTGCACCATGTTTTTGCACTTGCAGGGAGCTGGAGAGTAGGACACAGTGTGTGTAGGAAGAACATAGTGACATCATCTGCACAGAGGCCCGCAGCATTGCTCACAGAGCGGCACATGTTCGGTGTGCATGGGGATCGAGAGGATCGCGGGGGCGTTTGACATTTCCAAAGGAAACGCAGACAGTCAGTGGAGTTGGATTTGTCTCCATCGCGATCACAGAGGACCAAACGTTCTCTCCTGCACGCTCACTCTGCCCTGTTCAGCCACCAGGAGAGGGTCATAGCGGGTGGTAATATTGGCACGGAGCAACGACAACAGACTGAAAGTTCCTCCTGAAGCATTAGAGGAAACTTTTTAAAAGACGTTTTTGAGTGCTTGGGAAGAAATGCTGTCAGGGAGATAAATATACTTATGATGCGTTGAAGTCATATCAAACAGACAGCAATTGGAAGCAGCCTCCCAGGGCCGAGTTTAAACATCAACTGTCACAAACTGTTAAAGTCGTCACAGGTTGAGATTTCATTTCCAAACAAAATTCATAGTTGACGTCTACTTACTGCTGGAGTCATTTTTAGCTTCTAAACAAAGCTTAGTCTTACACCAGCGTCTGGATGGCTGAGAGCTTACAGCTAAAATAAATACAGACAGGTAGGACAGGAGACGCACACACACACACACACCTAAATGAGGATTCAATGTCAGCCAAACTGTGCTGGGCGTTGAGGTATAATGTGAAACTAATTGCTCTCCCGTTGCGGAGGAGAGAAAACTGGGACCTTTACCTGCACAGATGGAGACGTGTACAGTGATGAAGGCTATTAGGTAACATAAAGAAGAACCGACCTCCACCCGCCTGCCAAGATGCACCAGCACCAGCTAATTCGGTTCAGCCCAGCAGCGATATCAAGGTCTTACAGAAAAGCTGACTAGACCAAAAACGCTTTCAAAACACAATGGGACTTTTCAATCGGGAAATTAAAGATATTAAAGGTTAATTAAGATTCCGACGTGACAGCTAAGATCCTTCTGCGGTCTCCAAAGGTGTCGTAAGATTTTTTGAAAATATGTCAGTTTGGCTGCTTAAGTTTCACTTCCACTGAAAGGATCACTCCCATGCTGTAGAGCAGCAGTAGTATCAGTAGTAGAGCGGTCCCTTTTGGACTGCAATGCGTTGGTCCCATGTGACCCCACGATGCTGAGGGGTTCCTTTACGGATAAAAAAGGACAGTAAATACAACTTTCTTCTTTTCAAACACTTATTCCCGGGAGAAGTTGAGTAACGGGAATGCTGCATCAGCTGCTGCTTCCAATATATCGCAGAGAACTTCATATACAGTGAACGCGACGCCTCCTGTAGGGTCTTCTTCTTTACATCTGTGCTATTATTTCCCCTCCCGTCTTGTTGAGTGTGGTTCTAGATGCTAAAGCAGTCTTTCTCATATTCATGTCATGAAATGACCACACATGTATGCTGTGATTCGTACTGATTGACTCCTTTTTCACGGATTAGCTGATGGTTGAATGGAGGCTATTCACTGGTTCGCCGACTACACAAGCAGCTTTTTGCGGTGAATATCTGTCTAACTACAGAGTATTAACACTAGATTGCTTCGGAAAAATCATTGTTCCAGAACATCATTGTCCTCGCTGACAAAAGAACTCCACGTGTGGATAATCGTCACTGAGGACGGAGAAGGAGGGAGACAATAAAGGGGACAAGCCAGCGACCTCAAAAGATGCCCGTTACAGATCATCTGTCGCTGATATCACTTCATCGGTTACGTCTAACACGCAACACCAGGTTTAAAACAGGAGAGGCCGACAAGCTTTGCGTGACATTTCGATAGACGTGCCAGGGCCTCGTCAGAGGATTATGGGACTTTTGATGCGGCGCCAAGCCGGTTTGAATGTGGTTTTCTGCTGAGCATAATTTTTGATGTAGTTAAGACATAAAACGGCAGCATTAATACAGACAAAAAAAAAACAGCACGGTGTTCTCCTAGACTAATGTGCTACTTCACTGATCCAGTCAGGTAGCTCAGATTTATGCAAAAAGCCCAACTGAACAGCTTAACTATTTACAGACGGACTAATAGAGATGTTATTACTAAGGTTGGTGTGGGCTATGTGGTCGTGTCTTTACGATGACCTCATCGGAGCTTCACGTGAAACAGGGCATGCACTGTTTCCAGCATATAGATATATAATTTAGATTACTGAAGTGCATTAAGATAAAAGGTGTGTGTGTGGGCGGGGAGGGCTTAATGCAGGCATAATGGATGGATCAGGAGACAGTGGAAGCATAAAGGGTCAGTCCAAGCCAGTGGAATTACTCTTCCACAGCAAGTTTGTTTTGCATTGTCTCCAAAGAAGCAGGCGAGAAGACACTCTACACCGTCTTGCAGGCAGGTCCCCCCCCCCCCCCCCCCCCGTCTCGGTGTCATGTGGAACTCTGTTAAGACTCTTCCTCCCTTGCCGACATTCTTCAGTCATAATGAAAGAGGACAGGCCGGCGTCCATGCACGAGCAATCTGCAAACAGACAAGTTGAGATGTCCAGCGGCTTAGTAACTGGCTGCACACCTATCACTTATCATCCAGGCACTGAGTCCTGACATGAGACATGTGACCGCGGGCGGTTGGGCACACGGAGTGACGGCAGCGATCAACCCTCGGAGCACGAACCATGATTGGCCGTCGATTTGAAGATTCATTCATTCCTCCTTAACTACACCTGGACACTTTGTCAAACAGTGTCGTGTGAAGTATATTGTCGTGACAGGTGCAAGAGGGGCTTCGACACTACAAGGGGCCACACCTCCGGGTCGCTGAAGCATTGTTGCAGCTACAGAGAGGAGTCGATAAACTATGGCTATGAATGCAAATGGGTGCCCTGTGAACCTCTGAACCCGCGCAGTAGTCCGCGTTTATGGGATCCAACTGCAAAGACGGACATAAGCAGCCACCTCCAACAGCTCGTGGTGTTCGAAACACGGCTCATAATGAAAAGAGCCGTAGTCAACTCACACATTTGCCCCGAGCCTCAGCAAAGTGTGTGTAACGAGCAGACCTGGAAGCTCAGCGGGCCCGTTCGCAGCGCCGTATGGCTCCAGGCAGAGGAGGCTGGATGTAATCTTGGAGAACGGGTCTGACTAGAGTCTCGCTCGCTTTCTCGTTACAAAACATTTCACAGCGAATAAAGTGAAAAACACAACGTTGTCAAAACAGGGTGCAAGTTAACAGAGTTACGCCGGTTTAATGAATTGCTCCCCCCCCCCCCCCCCCAATATTGAAATAATAAACATCTGTAATGATTTGACAAACCCTGCTTTAAACCTAATGTGTTCGATTGCCTGGTTCACTTTTCAGTTTAAGAATCAAAATGAGTACAATTCTTAGCGGTGAAATCCATTTAAATTGCATCAGCTACCGAAACATCACAGTACAGCAGGGATTCTTAGTGTGGACAACTAGAGGATCATCACATTACACAGTGAAATATCTGATTACATCAGCAACGGCCTGTTCTGCTTTTGTACAAGCAGCACAGTAGAAAAGCCCAGTTAGCCCAAATAGATTCATGGTAATAAAGCGTTTTTTAGAGGGCTCGGTGACCTTTGGCCACAGGAGTGCAAAGGATCGCACAACTCATGGTTTTATCCAGTCACAGCTCACAGTGGAAAATAGGGAGCAAAAATAGCTTTTAAGAGCTGCCCTGATCATCAATTAGCCACATCGGTCAAAACTGATTATTTGCCAGTTTTTCTTCTTTTTTTCCTTGTATGTAGTTGTCGGTATTAATGGACCTTTTTTCTCCATTTCAACTGCCCCCAAGTTCGTACGAACCATTAAAAGTCGTACATCTGAGGGGGATCCGCACCGGTCACGGATCAACTACGGCCCGATACACCGCTATCGGACCACGTGACCACCAAGTTCCAATCGGTCCAATCGCGAGTCCGGCTGCACATGCGTGCCGCAGCGCCTCCAGTCATGGCTGGAGCTGGTACAGGAGGCACAACAAGAAAAGGAAAGCTTCTTATCCAGAGCCCTACAGGCCACCCAAATTCACTTCTATAGTCACGAAAGCCCAAATGTCATCGTGGCCTCTACGGATGTCCATCCTCCCTCTAAGCTTTCCAAAACCCGTTTCCTCGGCTGGCCCCGAGTCCGGCTGGCAGCTTTGGGGAGAAAAAAAAACAAAACACAGCGTGGCTGCCCTGACAGTCACCGGCTAGCTTGGACAATATTAGGTGGGAGGAAGGAAACAGGGAACTGCGAGCATCTCTCCCTCTGATTAATGCTGCAGAGAGACTTCTGGATTTGGCAAGAGGCAGCTGAACGGATGCCAGCCTGTCTGGTCCCGACATATCGGGCGGGCAGACAGACATGAAGTGACATCAAACGCAGCACACCGAAGACAAATCCACTCGCAAGCAGAGATAAACATGCTCGGCTTCCTTCCTGACCCCTCCCGCTTTCCCGCAGCCCCACATAGGTGCAGACAGTATTTCCTACACTGAGAAAAATCATGTTTCAACCCTCTGCAGGCGCTTTGGAGAGGAGTTTGTGGAGGAGTAGCGGCCTTGCAATCTACTTGCCCCGCGGGAATGAGGGTGACACACACACACACACACACACGCGCACACGCAGTATCACGTTCCACGTGATGCAGATCGAACATCATTTGATTGTCTGGCGTAGATTAAGCTTCAGACCACCCGGCCTAACCTGCTTTTCACAGACATTGGTCAGACAGCAGCGATATCAGCTTTCCCTGCTCTAGCACAGGCAGCGTGAGCCACCGGGATGTCTCCTGTGCTACAGATATTCTGTCCCCTCCATTGCTTAGTCAACAGATCAATAGGTAGCGGCGTCAAACCTGAGCCTTGAAGCGCTTTGACTTGAAAACATCATCATTTATTCATGAGGCTGCTGGTGAATTAGAGTGTCAGTAGAGACACTGCGCTTCAAGGACTACCGGAGACTGACGGGGAGGAAAGAGTGAAATAAGCAACTCAATGAATGAAATGTGTTTCTGCTTTTCCCCCACTTCAGGCAAACAAAGCGACCTTTGCCAGAGGCTTAAATCCAGCATCATTAGTCGAAGGATACAAAGCATCCGGAGGATTTGTGTTTAGATGCCCATTATATAACACAACAGATTCCTTCAAACAGAAGACTACACACTAAAGCATTATTTTAGTCTGCTGCTATAAGCTGTTCTACAGTTGAGACAAGCTTAACTTCTTAATGTAAACCTGCATGGGAACGTTTTTTTTGGACTCATTGAACATCTGTCTGAATGCACGAGTTAGTGACGGCGTGAGCTTGTAGAGTCTGTAAACACACATCTGTGCGATTGAACCGGTAAAATGAAGGTTACAATAACGGGTAAAAAAATAAATCAGAGCCATGTTATAAATGTATATTCTTTTGGATTTTTCCTTTGGGATTCATATTCATAGTTTCACCCCCTGCGAAAACAATAATTCAGCTACAGGCAACAAACAACGATCCTTTGTTATGAACAACAGAATCCCGTGTTAAACAATTTCATTTCCAATTTGCTACACTTGAAAATGTGCAGCACAAAAGCCAAATTGCGATGAAATGATGGCGGTGAGGCTGGCAGATTCTGGTATTTAGGTCAACATTGTTCATATTTTCAGCCTTTAATTTGTCTATCCACTGAAATAAAAAACAAATGCTTGCCTTTGTAACACGGTTCTGTTGCCTGGTGCCGTTTCAGGCCCACTGCTCCAAACCCTCAGTGCTTTACCTTCCGTCAAAAAGCTTTTAAGTCGCTTAATGAGATTAAGTCAGCCAAGAGTTTGTTTAACGAGGCCTCAGTGGCCTGAAGCGCTGCAACAGCCATCGCTGGCAGAAATAAAAAGCTTTGCGCGGCAAATTAACAAAAAAAAAAGGACCAAAACTTTGCTGGGGGTTTTAGAAAGAGGGTTTAAAAAGTTAAACCTCGGGATAAAGTGGTGTTAATCCATCAAGCTACAGATGCTAAACTGATATTGTTTTGAGCGTAAAGTCTAAAGTTCCCTTTATTATCTCCTTGTTTCATCGGAGAGGCCTCGTGTAGCAGTTGTTTTACTTTTAGAAGCTGGATGCCAGAGCTCCCCATTTAATGCAATGTCTACTATCCAAAATGTCTCAATCTAAACTGCAAAAATAAGAAGCCTCAAATTGCTTAATTATGATAAATCATTGTGTTTTACCAATTGTGAAATAACATTAGGTATAAAAAAAAAAAAAATCACAATAGTGATCAAATCTAAACAAGTACTGCCTCCAGATAATGGGTTTAACGCATTAATGAGTTTATTTTCAGACTGAATCCTCATCAGAGTGCCGTGTCAGCAGTTTCTGACTCTACCGTCAGTGCTGTGATGCCGGTAATTCAGTTACATCCTATCAAGTGGCTCCGAATGCACCAGCAGATTTATCTTTCACATCACAAATTAGATCGAGAAGTTATTAAGCAAGGTTGTTTCCCCCCCCCCCCCCGAAATCCAGTGGTGACCCTCGGCTACGGAGGAATGAGACACACGGAACAAAAGCCACTTGGTCAAAGCGGCGCCAATACTTCAGCTCAGCCTAAACGCAGGAGTGAGTCAGCAGAAGCTTCATCTCGTTGTCTACACAGACAAACCCGAAACACCAGCCAAGATAATCAGATACATTTAATATGATGCAAAAGCAAAGACAAATACAGTATTTAAAATAAAAAGGGAGAAACAGGTTGGTAAAGGACAAGACGGGTGAAGAGAAGCCTCAATGGGGGGGGGTTAAATGCCTATATATAGTTAAGACATAAAAAATTGAAAACTGAGTCTTACCTATTTGCCTCTCCAGGTCAGCTGCTTCATCGGCGTTGGCCCTGGGCAGCACGCCTGGGTCACTGAAGCTGGTTCTCAGGAGCGTCCCCAACACAAAAAGAAACAGCACGCCTCCTATGACTGGGATGACCGGGGTCAGCTGCAGGGCCAGGAACGGACAACTGGTCGGACAGGAGGGGGTGGACAGAGAAGGACACATAAGAAAATGGCAAAAGGGACACAGTGTACTCGCCCGTCCAGTAATGCTGTATGTATCTGGACACGTGTCCGTCTGCCCAAACACAAGTGCTTGCATAAAACCACTGCACTCCTTGTGAAGACGGGGAGGTGTTAATACCCGCGTATTGACAGTAAGTGGTTTGTGCAGACGAGGGCACACATGAGGCTCCGTCTCCCTCGTTGTAATCTCTTCTATTGAGACAACGTGCCGTAATCCCATTAAAGGTCTACCGGTGCAGGTGGTTAATACTCTAATCACATTTAGTCCCATCGAGGATTGCGTTTGGGGTCAGCAAAGAGGTGCCATTCCATACGAAGGAAACTAAATGAACATGCAGGAACCATATGTTTCCAGGGACGAATTAAAAATAACACTGAGAGTTGAGCCAAGTTTCCCAACAGCAGTGTTTACAGTGAGGCTCTCATTCATCTACTCATGCAGTGTCTTGAAGATTTAAAGGTCTCCTTAGTGAAGGTACGGGCGAGCCATTGTATTTACTGTAACGCATTATTGACTCTTGCAGGAGGGAAGCACGGATGCAGAATCGCCTTGGATGAAAACAATGTGGACTGCGGTCCATGATTCAAAATGAATGCGGAGAAACGATGCATACACATCATCATCAGCGACGCTAATAGATCACAATGAGGCAACAGACGTCAATAATTGCACTGTGTCTCTAAACTGCTCAACCCGATTTTACAACTCATGTTACAGAAATGCTGCGTTAAAGCTTTTCCCCCAAAAATGTCCCACTGTACTGTTTAAATGCATGCAAGTTGCAGTAGAATGTAAGCATGCGGGTATGTTGCTGATGGACGTCGTACCTCCCTCCCCCGGTCTAACCAGCCTTCAGATGGTCGCTCCCTGGGAGGGCGGTCACATGCGCTGATCCGTGCCAGCAGCAGTTATTCTGATAAACCAAGTAAAACTATATTTAGGCTGTTGGGTCCCTTCGGTAACAGCGGACGAGGAGAGCAAACCTGAGCAAAGGGCCCTCTTGCTCTACTGTCAAAGACGGAACAAAAAAAAAAAAATGTTAAGTAAAGTCCGGTTTGCTTCAACTGGCTGAAAGGAAACAAACAACAAAAACATTCCAGCTGGTTTTCGGACCGTTTAGGCAGTGCTGAAAGGAGAGGAATACTCCGGCGTGCAGGGAAAGAAGGGAAAGAACTGGTCTGGAGCGTAATCAGTGCCGGAAAAATGCATCATCATCAAACACCCTTTTTACGTTTTTGAACGTTATCGTATTCATTACTTATATTTTTGTAAAGTTAATGCTGGCACGTATATCTGTATCATTAACCTTGTTGATACTCGCTGTAGTGCCGACTTCCTGAGGCCTGTGCTCAAGATATTCTCACAATCAAGTGACTGTGACATGGTTTGCTGAAAAAACACACTATTTAAATGTACAGCAATTATACAAAGACGGCGAATTCGCTTTGAAATATTCTTTCGAGTAAATTCCTTGTAATACTCGTTCTTTCTTTACATGGCTTGTAGACGGCACTACATTAGCCCACGAATAGGAGTTTACAGATAATAACAATCTCTCCTCCGTTTTGTGGCGCTTATTATGCACCTTTAGTCTCTGGACATTTCTCCGGGTTACACGTGTCCTCGTTTTGTCTGCGCGCCCTCTGGCGTATCGGAGAATAACGCAGAGAACAACAAACGTATGTAACCGACTTGGCGCTCAAATGTAAAAAAAAAAAAAAAAGCTTTATTCTTCTTAGGAGCTACACAAGGAATCTATTTTTCTTTTAAACTAATAGCAAAAAGTAAAAGTCACTGGCAGAGTATCGCCCAACGCTTGGCGCCGTCTGTCAGAACTCTCCAAAGTCCGATGTCACTACCGTACATTCATTCATCTGCATCCATTAGATCTGTCCTCCACGTCTGAACGGAAAGGCGTCACATTAATAAGTCGTCCATTGAGAGGTTCTTATGAGAAGACGATTTGAAAGTAGCTACCTGTAGCTCGCTGCAGGTAGGCCACATCTCGCCCGGTTTATGAGCGCTCTGAAGACTGAGTCTGCGGGTATCGACCTTTAGCAACCTCACATGAGCGGCAAAAACAACGAGCAATTTTGCCAACCATCTCTACAGACAGGGAAGTGGACATGATCAAAGTTAGTTATTTTATTTTTCCTCTTAGTTTGATAGCAAATCTTAAATTTAACTGGGAATTTATGGGCTTTGTTGCCATGGAGATGGCATATTATCCAATATCAGACATGGTACATTTTGTAAGGGAATGTGGTTACCCTGGAAACAGCCACACGAGTGAGCGGAAGCCTCCAAGGATGGAAAAGACAAAAAGACATTCAACAAGATAGAGACAGCCTGATGGCTTTAAATCATTTAAAATGAGTCAACCAAGACTTTTATTGATGGGGAAGGAGACTATTGTTGGACTTTATCCAGAAATAGTCTATAATCAAAAGAAAGTTACCAAGTACTCGAAGCAGCCAGTGCAGAGATTACACATTAGTTCCAGACAGACAAATCTATTTTTTGTTACCGTGGGATCGAATTAAAAATAGATAAAAAATAAACTCCTCTTGGAATGATTTTCAAGAATCCAACAGAAACCCTGTGGTTGAAGCTGTGTAATAGGGTGATACAAACATCTACTGTGAATTCGTGGTCTGCATCTTTCATAAATTATCACCGAAAAGGTGCACATTTACAAAATTGTCAAGGTTGGAGTGAATTATTTACATCTGAAGGCAGCACAATAAAACGATAATAGCCAATCGCTTGGGTAAACGCCTTAATGATATCTGGCTAATGCATCTGCAAGTGACATTAATGCATTTCTCAGCAGAGCAAAGGGGAGCGTAATGCACAAATAACTAATGGACTTTAATCAGAGAATGGTTACAAGCTGTCAGACAGCGAGGGGCGGCAGCACGACACATTGTGTTGACATAAGGGAAACCTAATGTTTGCTCTGCTGAGAAATCAAAAGTGCTCGTTGCTTCATTGCTGCTCTTAGTCAGGAGCACCGAAACGTTAGATCAGACGATGTAACACACATCGGAGTTTGGTTTTTCGAGCCCAATTATTGAATTGGGGACAGAAACTTTTGTCATATCGAAGAAGAGAGTATGATGCATTCTTTGAAAGAAGTGCGATTGGTGGACAGGTTATTTAAATATCCTATCATTTAGTCTTCATTTAGACACGGTGTAACTACAAAAACTATTTCAACAAACATCTCTGTTGAGTAAATGTTTAGTTTTTTTAAGTTTTAATTTTCTGACATGGCACTGCTTAATAACTTTACTACCCCTTTAACTGTGTAGTATCTTGTCTTTTTATTGCGTTGAGTTCCTTCAGCTCCCTTTGGTGAAAAGGAACGAGAATGTCCAACTTCCAACATTTATACGTCTATGCAGCAGCTAAAATATAAACCTGATGAACAAAATAAACCTGGTCATACTGCCACCCTTCTAAAATTTGTTGATAATTTCTCTTTTTCATCCATTGTCCTCTGTTTGGGACGCATACATTAAAAGAATAGAAAAATACCATCTCTCTACCTGGATAGGTTCTCCCAAGACTTCCCTACTCATTCGCCTCCCAAAGGGTGCATTAATCTCAACAATAATCCCCTCCAGATTACTGTTATCACATTTCCCACTAAATCCTCTTATGATGCCAACCAGTTTTTTTTTTTTTAAACTCAGCCGAGAGTTAAGCCGAGGGGACTTTCATCTCTACTTGATGATCCACGTGACGCTGCCTCCCTGTTCACTGGCCGTCCCTGCGGGGTCACCTGGGATACACTGCGCCCCCGTTTACTTTTGTTCTTCAGCCGCACAGCTTTGAAGGGAAATCGATATTCTGTGGAGTGCAGAAAAGGGGGTCTGCGAAACATAGATCACCCGTTTCCCAACATTAACGGCATCCAGGGCACACATATTACTCAACAATGATGCAGTACCGAATACACAAATGTGTTTAAAATGGGCTTAACGTTGTGTTAAAATTGCCTTTTGGGCACTTGGCTTTGTGGCCTCTCACTCTAGTGTCTCATTACTCATCTGGGCTACATGGACACAAGGCTTTTTCAGCTTTGCTTTTCATTTAGTTTCGCTCGCTTCCAATGGCAGGTAAGGGGAAAACATTAAACTCCTTTTGGCCGCAGCAGAAGTCATTTGTCAATGAAACAAATGAACATGACGCGCTTTCATAAATCGTCCCAGTTCTGCTCGGACTACTTCGTGGAATCTTAAATGTCCTGCCGCCTTTCAGGCAGATGTGTGCAACGCACGGCCCAGCCTCCGAGGCTCGGCATCCGACAGCAAATTCACATGTGCTATCAAGATATTTATGAAACAGCAGAGTACGGCATGTCGATGTAGCATATATATAATATAATATATATATATATGAGTTCTATTTGACAGCTTTGCTCAGGGGGGATGCTTATATTGACTAAGGAATCCCTCTCTACCATGGGCGGGACTGTTCAAACACTGAAGACAAATACTCTTTGGCATAGTTTGATAGATGCCACTCTTAAAACGAACCTACTATTTTTCTCGCACGCAACGCAGCCAACAGATGTACTTCTCCTCTGGAGCACTGAGAAGAACTAACATTGTACTACAAAAGGAAGAGGTCACCGTTTCTCCGACTTGATTGCATTTAATTGGAAGCGATTGTATTCAGAGCTAGAAGGCCTGAGCCATAAAAAAGGGGGTTCTTCTTATTCACAAGAGACGACCAAAGAGCTCTTATAAGTAACTAGACCTCTGCCGTGTTGTGCATTTAGAGAGCTCTTGTTGACCACTTAATTAACCCTGTGGACCGACTGGATTCTATCGTTGTAAAGTGGTTTTGTGCGATTATGAAAGTTACTTCTCAGCAACCTCCAAAGCAGATGAGCTACATAAATCGTCTTCCATTATGGTTGCTAGTCTATGTCACACACCCAGCTCAAATACTCTGAACATTAACTAAGAAGAAGGGTATAATGTACAAGTCAATTACACTGCCATTATCCTTCTCCACATCCATCGTTCACTGTGGCCCCTTTTCACCGTTAAGTTTATTCTCTCTTTTCAAAACGGTCGACCTTTCAGTTGACGAGTATGAACGACACGTATTACGTACTCCAAGGCGGTTCATGAAGAGGGAAACGTTCAGGCAACCGCACCTCAATCATGTCGAAATCATAACCGCAGAAAGGGATTAGGTGCAAAAGAACCTCATCGTTAGAAGAGGCGTCATATGCAAAACAACAGCACAGTCATCACAAACCACGGCACATTGTTTACGTTTCAAGTGCATTACTCATTGAGCGTTCTTAGAAATGTCCACTTAAGTAAACGCCAGTCCGCCCTGTCCATGAACCTAAACTACAGCCTCAGATTGGGCGAGGCAACTTCCAAATCAGACAAATCAGCTCTGTCGGAATTCCATGCCAAAACGTCCGTAGGACCGGCTCATCAGCATCTCGTTGTGTTCTGTGCACAGACAGAATTTCCTCTGAAATTCAGCCCGACAAGCAGATTCACTTCCGGGCTGCTTTAATGAATGACATTACTCAAGAAGCGGAACATTAAATCAAAACCAGATCTGATCTCCGATCACGGAAAGGGTTGTAGCCTACATTTGCCTCGATCGTGTAAAGCGTCAGGCTTTGGTTTTATTGTACAGTGAAGCGTGTGTGAGGTGTGGGCCAAAAAAAATGACCTGAGCCCTGGAGGGTGTACCAAGAGGGAGAGTGCACGTTCTCTCACCCCAGTAATCGCTCTGTCGATAAACAGAAAAACCTTTTAATGTTTTAGACACCGGCAGTCTGAAACATTTTCATTCTATTATATACATTTTTCTAGCCAAATCAAATTATTTACCGGATATTCAACTGTTGGTCCCTTGTGCAACGCTTGAGCTCGGGGCTTGTATGAAGGCCATAAATTAGTCCATCATTATGAAACACGAGTTCAAAGACAATAACAATCCCTCCTCAGCATTGTGGAGCTTAGTTTATGGCTTTTGCCTGTTGAACAGACAGTCTGTGGCCATTTCTATGGGTTATATTGGATGTCTTTTTGATTCTTCGCAGCTGTACACCCTCTGGCCTTTCAAAAGAATAATGCGGCGCCGAGTAGCAGCGCCTCAGTACATACTCGGGGGGTCACAAGCATTACACTTTGGAGGTCTTTGCTAAAAAGAAAAAAAAAGGTTAAAAAAGGTAACTTGTTTTGTGATTATTGACCTTCAATGAAACCACTTATCAACGGGTGTCTAAAGCTGAGATGGAAGAGCAGGTTGTCCACATGTCACAGTGTTTTTGGGCCCTTATTACCGATGGCCAGGCCGGCACTTAGCTCGCTGCCCACCGCTGTGTAAGTGGAGCAACTAGCTTGAAAGAACGCTAGGGATAAACACACCATATCAACCAGCCACAATTCACGGCGTCTTGTTGCCCAATGACTGCATCACAGCTTATGGTCCATCTCAAATTTGACTGATTCCAATATTAAGTCACGTTACACAAGATCCCTTCAAACATCTGCTTGAGTGAACTTTTTTTACAAGTCATAAGAGAGACGGCAACACGTGCAACAACAGCACACATGGATATCCAGGGAGGGGGGGGGGCAGCTTCAGAATAATAAACAGACCAATGTCTGCCCGTCGCTAACAGAGTTTATTGTGCATGGCTGAGCACCCCTCAGACGCACAAAAGACAGCAGGCTGAAGGAAACGTGGAGATGTACAAAGATCTCCTTCTATGGGAAACATTCTGTGCATGTCTCCATCCTTAAAACACATCCCTTCACTTATTCTACTATTATAAAGATTGTCTTAAAAACAAATGGAACATACGTCATTGTACGACAATCTAATTCAACAGAGAGAACAGAGACAATTCAATAGACAGGAGAAGCCCCTGCAAACAGAATGAGGAGCTGTTCTCCAATATGCTGACAACGGCGAGAGGAGTTAGCAAAACACATCTAATCGAAATGCATTACACTTAATGACAACAGAAGCCAATGTGCAGGTCTGCTGACTATCGCCCTGTCCAATAAATGTCTCCTTTCAGTTGATGGGACTAGAGTGTGTGTGTGTGTGTGTGTGTGTGTGTGTAAGGGGGGGATGTAGTGAGAGGGAGAAGAAAGCCAGGAGGACCCGGTCAGCCCGGAGGGGGGGCATACACAGTTGAACAGGGGGAGGACAGTGCTAAGCTGAAAAGTAGCTTTGTGGTTGCACAGTGTTCCTGAAAACGTCCCCTGTAGTCACAACAGAGGTCAGCTCCACTGACAACCCACAATGTAGGAAATCAAGCCATCTGAGGGGGGGGGGGGGAGAGAGTGTATCGTCAGGAAGCATCTGGCATCCTCCATGTGGGTGCTGGGTAACGTCCAGGTTCACATGGACACTGCAGTACGTTTCCCCTCTCATTTTGATGCTCCATGGCAGAGGGCTGGAAGTGTCCTCTCTCTAGCAGCCTGCCCTTGGGTCATGGGTTATGTCTGTATCTCTGCTGAGGTGACAATGTATGAAAAGATGAGGTGGTCCAGAGGTCACTGCTGATAGATGTGTAGCATTGGTCCGGTGAAGGACTTCACACAAAGCAGAATACAGCTGGTTTGACATGAAACGTACAAAAAGGTTCCCAGTGGGAAAACTTTAAATGTCCTGTTTCTCAGAGCAGTCCAAATGGAATGACATGTTTGTCTAATAAGTAAAAAAAATACGCCACATATAAAAAGAAGAGGATTATTTTTCTGTTTATCGACAGAGCGATTACTGGGGTCTAAGGAGGAGAGAGAACGTGCACTCTCCCTCTTGGTACACCCTCCAGGGCTCAGGTCAGGGCCGGTGTCTACATGCCGGATCATGCACCTCAGTCACAATGGCCCAATCTGGGACATCCTGCACGAGAAGACGCTAAAGAGCCGGATGAGACAGTGGAAAGGAGTACATTCAGTCTGTTGATTACAGGTTGTTCTTCCAGAGGGCTCCTTCGGGGGATTGTGAGGCTGTGATTAAGGGAGTGCAAGCGACACCCACAGAGAGACTAAAACTCTCGTCAGCCTCGTAAATCAGGGGTGACCGGTTTAAGACCTATAGGAAAAAAATTGTAAGGTAAACCGCTGTGATGCTGTCGCTGTAAATGGGTCAATTTACCACACGACACAATATGAAGAAAACCCCATTACTGGACATCGGGACCTTGCTCAAAGACACTTAGGGTCAGTTAGAGTTTAACAATACTGGATTGAACCCTGCACCTGGTGTGCTTCCGACACGTAGGGCCGGCATGACAAAACAAATTCAACAGTAAGTATAAAATAAAAATCACCAGCAGTCTCCAATGCGCCGCACACACAGAGGGAAGAACACACTGAAAAGCAGATTAAAACAGGAACCCCCAAGAGTTTCCATAAGCAACCGCACACCGCTTTTATTAAAGATTCTTTACGTATCAGAGAACTGTCTGCACAGTCGCCTACCAATTTGTTGAGCCATCTCTCTAAACCCCCGAGGAGAGCAGATGAAATACACCCACTCCAGAGTGATGGCCGTGACGTAACCGACAGAACATCTAAAACTTCTCCTCTGACAGCCGAGGCCATGAAATGAAATAATCCACATTGCCACTGTGCACGTGTGAAAAGCAGCCGGGAGCAGGTGGAACATGCCTTCAACAATACTTACTCAAAGGTGAAGAAGAGTCCACAGGTCACCAGGATCAGGGCGAGGGTGAGGTAGAAAACCCCCGTCTGCTTGGCCATCATAATCCTCCCATTGCAGTAGAATTTGTTCCGACCGGGGAAGGACTCCCACTTCCTCTTCTTTGGGGTCCTGTTCTTGTAGGGGGTCTCCATCGGGGTGGAGCTGCGAGTGCTGATTTGGTTGTACTCGCACTCTCTCATGGACTCAGACACCCCGAGATGCATCAATTTCCGATTCAAATCCCCGCAGCTGAACAAACCCCGGGGCAGACGGCCTCTGTTGGGGGAGAAATCAAACAGTTGAGTTTACAGGCCCAGATCACAACTTCTCAAACTGGGTAAACGTGGGTGGGAGAAGAAAAAAAAAAAAAAAAAACTTTATGAAAAGTACCGCACACACTTCCTGATAGAAATAACATCCAGCGAACACTCACCTTTTAAAGAAAAAGGACAGTCTAGCCTCCAGTAGATTTATTAAAACTACACATTACGTTAAGTGAGGACAGCTGGTTTAACGTTAGCTAACTTCACACGCAGCGCCCGCATTACCATAGCATAACGTTTAATAGCGCCATTGTTAGCAATGCAAGCCCCGGTTAGCTTTTTATATAGCAACTCAATGTAAAGTGACGCGGAGGCTAACGCGGCTAGCGAGTTGAGACGAGGCGGACCGGTAAGTTGACGTTAGCGCGTCGGCCAACTTGTCGATCGAAGGCTGCCTCGCCGGGTCACTCACTTCGCCCGCACAAGCACACGCTTCGACCCGTAAGCAGCTACCAACGTGACGGGTTTCCAGCGACCTCACGTCCCCGAAACGGCTTCACGCCCTCCCTCCACCTCCTCCACCTCCTCCACCTCCCTGGTTGTTGTTTTTTTTTTCCTGCTCCGCCTCGCTAAAGCGGCAGTTGACGTCTTACCGGAGGGAAAGTAACGCTGGTCGTCGCGCTGGGTGTTGTCACGTAGCTTCCCCTTTCCTGACCCAGAGGAACACCATTTTTTTTTGTAATTCGAGGGGGGTGAAAATAAATAAACGGCAGGTTGTTTCAATTTGGGCTTCTCGTCGTCAAAAAAAAGGGGGGAAATCCTGAGAAAAGACTCCGCGACGGTGCTGCTCTCAGACGAGCTCCAGCATCCCCCCCACACGCCCCCGAACCTAGAAGGACCTCACAGGCGTTTATGTCCACGCGTCTCGCGGCAACACACGGGAGAGAATAAATCTCCGGCAGTCGGGAAGGAAAAAAAGTTCCCCCAAGAGGCGCGAAGGCGGACCGGTCGACCACCGTCGGATCGTGTCCCTCTCCGCCGCTCGCACGGCGGCTGCTGCTGCTGCTGCTGCTGCCAAACGCTCGCGAACAACAACACACCGACGCGGGAGCAGAGCGGGGCCTCCCAGCCTGCGCCTCCCTCCTCCAAGCGAGGCTGAACTGAGGAGGTGCAAAGGGGAGGACCGGGCTGTTTAAAGGGGTTCCAAACCGGTGGGGCAGGGACCCCACGGGCGTCCGTTAGATGGTCTTAATTCATGCTTTTGGGGTGAGGGTTAATTGTTAATTGAGCATTTGCTTCGTTAGCTGATGTTTCCTATTACGACTGAAAGCTGTTGATATTCTTTTCGTACTGTCTACAAATGCAATGAAAAGACCGAAACCAAGCAGGATAAAGCACATTCCTGTCCGCCACAGAGTTAAATGGTTGTCAAAGAAATATTGTAAACACACAATTGAGTCACATTGTAGAACCAGAAAAGGTTTCCCTTTTGTCATTCTGTTTATTCCAAGTCGATTCTAATACACTGTCCTGGTAGCGTAAAATACTCACGCGCACACCAATTGTGTGATAATGAGCCCCAATTATAACCTCCAATAAATACATAACCTGCAGGTAACGTTTTCGTTAGCTAACATACTTGCTAAGCAGACCCAAAACGTTAGTTAGGATTTGGTGAATGTGAATCTTACGATGTTTCGCATCACTAGCGTTAGCCTTATAGTTGTAATGCTGTAATCTTTACCATTGACTTTGGGTTATTCTGTGTGGATTTCTTTTATGATAGTAACTGATGATTTTCTTTGTGTAAATGAACGAACACCACTTTCCATAGTTCTACTCAGTCCAACATCCACTGTAAAGAACTGATGGAGATTTACGGTAGATTAAAAAAAGGTATATTACGTTTTTTAGAACAACCGTCATTTTCAGTTAAATGATCATCCCTTGCATGTAAAGGAACATGTAATGCCTGAATTAACCATAACAGCTGAATACTGTATTTTAACGGCATTGTACAGATTTCTTTTGTGAATTTGTTTATGTATGCGTCTCAACACATGTTCAGTAAGTCTCAATCAACCAACATTTTACTGTCTATAATTGGTTAATGTATCTGTAATGACAATGGAATGATTTTATTATTTATTATTAAGTCATTTTGGATTGACAAGACGTGACCGACTCTTCCTGAATGTGACTTTGTTTCTGTCTAAATTTAACGTCTCAATAATGTTTCCTTTGGTTCATTTTGTCATTATTTAGCTTATATTGGCAAAGCACACTGTAATGTAAGCTGACTAGAGCTCAATTAGCCTTTGAAAGGTTAACGTGCTAACAGCTTAGCAAGTAAAGTTAACTTGAATTAAGTCATGTTTGAATTTGTTTTATGAAAGTAGGATCTAGCATTCGAGCATTTCAATCTTATCGGTTGGGACATGAATCACACATACAAACTACATTACCTCAAACACAGAGCTGGCTGACGATGTAGCGTTTGTGGTCATTTACAGTACTGTAAGTTGTTGCTTGTGTCATGCATTGGAAAACTAGCAGAGATCATGAGTGGCTGCTGTGTATGCGAAGCTATGAAGTGGCATATGTTTTGCTTAATCTGTTGGAAAGCCGTGGACGTTTTCAATGGTCGCTAATGATCTGTAAGCCCTCCAATTGAATCCCTCAACCGAGGGGCTTGTTAAGCAATGTGATGGCAAATGGCTGAAGCGGTGTTTGTGTTGGGAAATAAGTGGACATGATGGGGTCTTTGAGTTCTAATCCAAAAACAACACGGGCCTGGATCACATCCGGCCATGGCCTATTGTTTCGTTAAGAAAGCTGGCCTGGATGAAAGCACCTCAAAGCTTCATCAAGGTGCCAATACTGTCCACAGCCAAAGTCATTGGACTTGGAAAACACAGTTCAACCTCACACAAAAAACATTTCCCTGTAAAGGTCAGAGCCGTCTCTTTTGTGTTCGCCCAATGCTCCTTCATCTACCTACGTCAGCACTGAGAGGCGGTAAGGTAGCGAGGGCCAGCGGTAGCCTATGACGACGTGGCCGGCTTCCTCTCTGCCACCACATCCATTCTGTCAGAGCCCGATGACTCAGCTTCTCAGGGGCACAGGAGTGTGGGAGGTCTTCTCTTGCGCTTGGCTGCCTACGTGAAACGGATCCTCCATCACCAAAAAAGTTGCGCAAACCCAGTTTCCATCCGATCTCTTAATGAAGACAACATACCCAAACGCATACAAATCATTTATGTTGCCGCAGGAAGTGGCTTTAGTTAAAAATCAATCAACCACGTCTCAGACCGCTGCGGTTAGGTTTAAAGTTGTCAGTAAGTTTTTAATAAAATCAAGATGACTGATTTTACCTCTCTGCAGCCAAGCAACGCGGCTAAGAATCATTCTTTGAAACCAAATCTGTTCATTGCCTGTGTCTTTAACCCCAGGAAGGTCATTAAAGAAAGCTTAAAATAAGACTGAGTATAATGCCCACGTATCCCTTAGCGAAGGAAAGTTGGGAGAACATTTTTAAATTCCACATGAAGAGGAAGTAACATTTTTGGAGATGCAGATCGAGGGCAAAAATAAATGAGCAACAAAAAAATAACTGGTTCCTTCAGACCCAGGATCATCCAATGTGAATGGAGCCCCTCATCTGTTAAACTAGAAGGTAATAAAACAGGTTGTTGCTCACAAGCAATTCCTATCTGATCAAATTACAACTTTCTACTATATGAGTTGAACGAAGAAAAAAGAAATTCTCCCTGGTTACATTTATAACAACTTGACTTATAGAGAGAAAAGTGAATAGTGTGCTACCCATTCATTATAATACAATTATCTTTGATTTGGTGTTGGAAAAGACAATCACATGGAAAATATCAATGGAAATTGCAAAATTGTGATAAAGTTGTGCCTGTTCATGTCATAGATTTAATATTTCCATTAGTTACCAAAACTACAAAAAAGAAAAACTGATATGAACGGAAAGCCCTTGTCTTCGGGCATGCTTGAATCCAGCATAGTAGGTAATACACAGTAAAAAGAGTACAATAGTTAACATGCGGATATGTGTACGCGGTATGTGTATTGAGAGCTCCTTTTCAGAAAGACACAATGGCCAACATTAAAACAGTATATGATGTACTCGTACTTGGCAAGGAATCCCCTTGGTGTCTTTGAGTGGAGCCTGGTGCCCCAATGGGGTCTCAACCACCTGTAATGACTAACGATCCTGGGACAAGGTGACCATACCCTGGAACATGGTTAACCACGGGGACCGGATGCCCCTCGGGCGACCAATGGACCCTTTTATCCAATTTGTATTTGACATGTCACAGAAGGAAAAGGACAGGTGTAAATAATAACAACGAATGACAGATGAATTCCATTTAGCTGCATGCTTCCGTCTCGAAGGTCCCGGTATTGTTTATGCCAATTATCCTCTGTGAAAAAGGCCGACGATGCTTGCTGCGTGATGCAGACAAGACGTGCCGTTATAATCCACGGGGGCCTGGTGAGCACTCCTCTGCTTTTCACCAGCCCTCGCTGAGGTTTTAGGTGACGTCTTTGCCCAATTACAAGGACACAAGGAGTAGGCGGTTGTAGGTTGTGTTATGTGCTGAGAATGCCTGCATAAAAAGGTCATAGACATCTGTCTCAACGAGGGGATTATGAAAACTGATGCACGGTGAGGAGATGTTCAAACTGAGCGTGGGATCTCGTGAGTATTCATGGTACTTGGTTTTATCACTGGACACAGACCAAAAAATCATCAGTATCACAGTATCAGGCCACCAATAAATGGGTTAAACAATTATATAGCATTGCTTTTCAAATCTGGCCATCGTTTGTACAAATAGGAATAAATGCATTTAATGTCATGTTGTATAGTATATATAAAAGGACTGGTAAAAGTGGCCCTGGACAATTAAATGGGAAAGGTTATACAGGTTTTACATTACATGTACACAAGTCCCTTTTCTTTGTTCCAAAATCCAAACGGCTTCACCTATGAGGGTCTTGGATGATGATGGGAAATTATCTGTGGTCGGTTGGGAAAGAGTCTTACCTTCAGATGGACCATCTTTCCTCTTCAAATGATTTCATTCAGTGGTTTGTGAGTTGGAACAGCCATATATTAAACTGTGCTTGATGATTATCATTTAAGACAAACTCTATTAGGGCTGCACGGTATACCGGTCGGTATGAGATTTCCGTACGGTATTAAGGTCTCACGTACCGTTCACACCGGTGTTACGCCACAACAACTAAGGTTACTCTTATTTTACCATGCTTAAAACCATCCATTTCACAAGTATCTAATTCAACAGTCAACACCAAAACCTTACTTTAAAAAAAAATAATCAAACATACTGCTGTAGACATGTAAGTGACCGGGCTGTCCCTTAAATTCATGGACGGAGAACATTCTGAATATATAGACCTCTGAAGTGATACCTGAATAACAGCCATATTGATCGTTTAGCTGAAATACTTGAACTCAAGCAAATATATTTTGTCAGGTGCAGTCTGGACTGTATTATTTAATTGTATAACTGAATGATTCAGTTGTGACATATTACATTATTTTGAATAATACCAATAAAAATCAGTCCATGTCAGCAGTTGATGTTTTGTTTTATTAGCCTACGATTGTCTGGACATAATGCAACGTCTCCGGTGCTTAATGATGTTCATCATACATTTATTTGTGACATGTGCAGCACAGAGTATAAATGTGTATACTGAATAAAAGAGAGACATGGAGTCATACGAAAAAAGGCAGATTTTACAATGAGCTTTCATGACATTTTGAAGGTTCTTTTCACACGTTTCTTTTGAGAGCATCATCTAGATTCAAAAATATGCCCATTGACATGAATGGAGGACAGTGACGAACAGTGTGTTCAGTTTTCTCGCACAACCTCGGCTTAATATCCTTTCACCCTGGCACTTTCACGTTTGATTACCAAAGCGATTGTTTTCTCAGCTATAATACAATGCGTACAGGATTTTTTTTTTTTTTTACATTGAAACACCAGTTACATCTGCCATGTTCAAATATTTGACCCCATTAACAAAATATGTATAATAACAATAACAAATTTTTACCAACAATAAAAGCATTTGTTATAATAGTAGGAAAGTCCCATCTCTTGCTATGCTTTTTCGACACTGAAAGAATAATGTGCGTCCATTGTACAACGGTTTATATACACGGTGATGAAAAAATACAGACATAACACAAGTGCTTAGGAAACACAAAGTTCATCCGTGAAAGTCATTGAGGCTATGATAAATTAGACACTTATTTTAACAGATGCTCTTCTATCTTGTAGATTGGCCGGTGCAATGCTGCCTCCTCGTGGCCTAAAGCACACACTGCAGGTACCTTTTAAGGTTCCTCTTGCTCTCGAAAAGGGAAAACTCGCTCTAGAGTCCTATTGCACAATTTATCTTCCAGCGATGGAGACATATACATTTCAATTTGAAAAGTCAGCAATTTTTTCCCCCCACAACTGTTGGCAAAAAAGTTCAAACTACTGTACAGAGTCACATTTTAAATAAATACTCTCCATTGACAAAATGTTGATGAGTATATTAGCGTTTATAAAACTGAAAAACATCTCCACGACTCATCGACTCAAAAGGAACCACGTAATTCAGCACCGACATCTTGTGGCAGCTTTGGCTGAAAAGTAAACAAAAACAAAAAAAAAGCCAAACAAAATTAGCAATCCAACAGCGGCAGGTATTAAATATTAGTATTAAAATGAGCTTTCAAATGCCAAACCCACTTTTTTTTAACAGGGCCCAGAAGCTATACATATATAGAGATATTTTGTGGATATGTCTTTTAAAAAAAAAAAAACATTTTCTGCCATTTTGATAAATAAAAATAGGAAACCACAGAAGCATCTTAGCGTCTGCCGTGGGAGTCCCGCCTCTCCTCTTGTCATAATTTCCCCAGGTGAAAGAGAACTTGGCAAATGATGGCCACCACCCCGGCGTTGAGCGCAGAGGAAATGGAGATGTCTAATAATCTGCTTTCGTACAACACAAACTCGGTCTTGTTCTCCTCCACTTTAGCCATAGCCAACAGGCCTTTAGCTGCTCTGCACATCATGTTTATGCTCGGTGGGTCCATAGGGGGGTGCCCCATGTGCAGCAAGCTGTGAGGGTTCTGCTGGTACTGCGCCATGCTGACACCGTCGTCCAGGAAGCCTACTAAATTACCCACGCTGCCCTTCTTCATGGCTATGGCACGTGCCGCTGTGGGATCGCCTTGTGCCAGGTGGGAGAGCACAGCCACTGCCATCTCTCGGTACACCTGCGCCTTCCTCTGGCCCACATAGCGGACCAAGACGGTGAAGAACTTCTCCTGACGGCTGAAAGGGGGCGTGGCTAGCAGGAGGTCAACGTTGCCGCCCTGGATGCTCAGCTTGCAGAGGCACTCCAGCACCAGCCTCTGGGGAGTGAGCTGGGAGTGGGGTGCCGCCGATGGGAAGGGGTCCTGCGCTTCGGCGGAGGGGCACACCATCCAGTGGAGTAGGCCATCCAAGATGGGGAGGCAGATAGTGTCCGGATAGGTGGAGAGATCCAGCTGACCCGAGATGTTGGCCAGAGTGACCATAGCATTCTCCCTGAGCAGACTCAGGCACTCCCACCGCCACTCCTCTCTGCTGCTCGACAGCCCCCGCTCCTTCTGCTCGTCCCTCTGGTGGCCCGGGGGCGACCTGTTCCTCTCCGGGTGCTGGTGGTGCAGCAGGAGCAGCCGACCCAGGAGGAGAACCAGAGCAGGGTGGCGTGACATATCCGAGTCGTTCCCGGGGATGAAGGACAGGCTCCGGACGATGTTGGAGACGCACAGGCAGCGCTTGGCCAGCGAGTCCTGCCAGGCGGAGGAGGTGGAGAGCGGAGCGTCGTCCAGGCAGCGAGGCTCATCCTCCAGCAGGGTGATGTGGTCCTGCTCCCCGTCCTGATGCACCCTGAACGGGTAGGAGGGCAAGGAGCGCGCAGGGTGGCCGTACGAAAGGGCGTCGACCCGAGCACAGAGGACATCGTCTATAGTGGCCGTGATGTGTTTCAGCGGTCGTTTCTTCCCGTCGTCCGCTTGTTTTTCCTCCTCGTTTTCGTTGTCCGCCGGGGGAGGGGCGTCGCCGCGGGGTTCGAATTGCGTTTGGATGTGCGCGGTGGAATCCCCTCCGCCAGCCTGCCAGTGGAGCAAGCCGCTCGTGAACTCGGTGACGTGACCCAAGCGCTCTGTCATGCCTTCAACCAGGTCCTCTTTGTGCACGATCTTGATGGGGAGCTTGTCATATTTACTGGCTTGCTTGAGTTGAAGTTTTAGCTCGGCCACCGGCAGCTCGACACACTCCTTGCTGTTCTCTGCTCCTTTTTCACTCTCTTCCGCTTTTGGCTCCGCCTGTCCGTCCATTTCGTTTTTGCCCTCCTTCTTTATGCTCACAGACTCACACTCCGCCTTCTCGCTGTTTACCTCCGATTCCGATTCTGGCTGTGCAGCGGTGACCGCTGGAGCTTCCTCCACCACGGCGCCTGCCGCTTGCTCCATCTTTGTGTCTTCTGCCTGAGCTGACTCAGGTTCAGGATGGCCGTTGGAAACCGTCTCCTGGTCAGTGATGATTTCTTCTTCCTGGTTAGCAGCAGGGTCCAAAAGGCTTTTCTGAGCTACTGTCCCCACTTCAAACTCCTCCAGGATGCCAAAGATCTCAATTAGGTAACGGCGAAAGTACTCGACAATCAGCTCGAGGAATCCTGGCAACTGTTCAGACAAAAAAACAAAAAACGTTTGGACGACATAGTGACACGATGGTATTCTGAATATTTTCACTTTGTAGAATTTTAGAGACCTTTACACTGCAACAGAACAGTTTAAACTGAAGGATCAGGTTCAGTCAAGCTATTGGTGTTACCTGTGAGAGCGTAAAGGAGCCCACAGTGCTGTCATCGTACAGCAGGATATTAATGGTGTCCAGGGCCCACGTGCTTTCTGCCAGCAGGCCGGACTTCAGAGACATCATCACGCGCCAGGCCTCAGGGGTTCCTGGGGTTAACAACAGAGGTATTTTTGTGATACGTGATAATATGTGACACTCGATTAGATATCATTGTAGTTCTAGACTCAGCTGTTCACCCAAGGCAGATTCTTTAGAGCAATACAATAAATTCACTTTCACTTTCCAAGCTAATTAAACAATCAGCAACGGCTCTATTTTGGCTCCCAACTCTTGAGTCAAAATAGTAATAAATGAAATGACGAGACTTCATCTCACCGGTGTCCTTGGAGGTGAGCTTGCGTCTGGGTTTCAGAATCGGCATGGTGGCCTCCGCCGATCCCGGTGGGTAGTTGAGGTCCCGCCTCAGGTTGGGAGGAAAGTGACCGAGGGGTCCACCTCCCTGCGGGCCCATCATGGCCATTCCGGTCTTGGGCATCTTCATGGGCGACATGAACGGGGCTTTGGGGGACATCCTGGAGTCCATGGAGCGTTGGAAGGCTCCCGGGCTGGCCGCTCTGGACAGGTGGTTGACCATGGATGGAGAGTTGGAGTAAGAAGACGGCTGGCGCGAGGACAGGGGGGGCATGCCGCCCGACGACGACAGGTAGGGAGACTGGCGATGCCACTGCTCCTGCCCCGGCCGCCCGTCCATGTCGTCTCGGCCCATCGGGCCGTAGGCCGCCATCTGCGACGGCGGCCCCTGTCTGTTGGGGTACGGGTAGCCGAGCTCCGTCCTGGAGGGCCACATGTTGGGCCCGTCGGCGGCATGGTTAGGAGTGGGCCCCCCGGCCATCATGCCGTGCTGGCTCTGACCTGAGGGGGCCATGCGTTCGCGGGGGTAGGGGTAAGGGAACTGTCCCTGGACGGGTCTGTGTTCAGGTCCCGAGTACCCACCACCGTAGTGGTTGTACATGTCCGGCTGCTGGTTGGCGTACTGCATGGCATACATGTCGCTCTCGTGTCTCTTGGGCGGGGGGCCGTACATACCGTCCATGGGACGTTTGTAGCCCTGCTGGAGCAAAGGGGTGTGAGTCAGTTAAAACACACAGACACGGCTAATTTATTCCCATTATTCCAGTTCCATAGTAACAACAATAAATACATGTATAATGGGAGTAATAGCCTTTCCGCCACATCAACAATTGGGAAAGACAAACTGGGGGAAATGTATTACTCAGAATCTGACATGATCATTTAACCCAACATTACATTATCTGTAGGTAAAATAGTCATAGCTTTAGTACATCTCCTGTTTAACACAGATGAAGCCTTTTAAAGTTTTACTCGTCTGTACTACAGTATATATATATATATATATATTTTGGTCCTTCAATAAATAAAGTCCCAACAAACCATGTGAATATTACTGTGTTTACATCTCGTTCTCACCTGTTGCTGAGGGTACATCCCGGATGGATGCATTCCATATGGCATGCTGGGATACTGCTGACTGTAGCCATCGTGTCTGAAACGGAACGGAGGGCAGAGGAGGCGAAAGGAAGTCCCAGGTTAAAAGAAATAAAATTCTTTGAATGAATCGCCATGTAACATTTTTTTGCCACGGCTTTGACGTTCAACAAGTGTACTTGATTGGTGCTGACCTTTGCTGTGAAGGGTATCGACTGGGAGAGTACATGCCGCCCTCGCTGTTCAAAGGTCCCATGTTGTTCTGACTCCCGGGGGGACCCATGTTCCCCTCCATCCCCATGACGTGGTCCGGTCTGAGAATCAAACGACAGCAAAGTCTTCATGCTTCTGACTAAACATCGCTGACAACACCCGATGGAGACATATCATGAGACCCTACAGGTTCGCGACCCTCTCCCTCTTGATTTGTGTGCCTACCTCCTGTCGTAGCCCGGCCCATATGGATACTGCGCCCGTTGGCTCATGCTCAAGGCTGACGGGGGTCGACCGTACATCTCCTGCATGCCCCCAGCGGGCATTTGTCCCGGCATGTAGGGATCGGATCCCGCCACTGCGCAGGGTGAAAAAGAAATGGGCTAAACAATAGTCTAACTTTTGGTCTCTTACTGACCACCAGGTGGCAGCGTTCCTCCATGGATCTTCACCACCTCACATGATTAAATCTCTTGTTCTGAGGCGGCAACTGTTGTTATGCAGCTAACATCCACCACATTACTCATTCAGACTTCATCCTCACCAGCCTTTCTACAAACTGCGGTTTGTTCTGAAAACTAAACCGCATGAGTTGGTCAAAACAGGTGCTTCCCAGCAGGGTGGGAGGGATGAAAGGTTGAATACGGGGAGGATGAAAAGGATGAACAAAGTTGGGATGAGACAAAGGCCAAGCTACAGGAACATCAGACGAGCTGGCATGTTTTCGATAAAGGGCTTGCGTGCCGTGACGAACAGGTTCTCATCTCCTTTCATAGTTCCAGAGGTAAAGCACAAACACACAGACACATCTGTCCTGACTAGACGGTGAATTAGACCAACGAGACAAACGAAAGAACAACGGCTTTGAGATACATGAGTCATTTTGACAAAGTGCCACGAAAGTTTTGAATTAAAAAATTAAAGTTGACAATGCAAAATAGTTTCGGCGGCCCGAAAAACAGTTTATTTACATACGTTTGAACATCTTCTGTGAAATTGGGGAAACAGGGTCTCACTCACTCTTCCTCATCCCGGCGAAGGGGTCCTTGGCGTCGTACTGCATCCTCATCATCATGTCAGGCATGCTGAGGCCCTGCTGGTAAGGAGCCGAGGGGGGCAGGGGGGCGGCGCGCTTCTGGAAGGCCGGGTCGCTCACCTCCGAGAAGGGGTCCTGCACGCTCACACTGCTCCTGGACGAGGCAGGGAGGGAGCGAGAGAGAGAGAGGGAGAGAGAGGGGGAGGGAGGGAGAGAGGGAGGGGAAGATCAAAGCTGTGTGAGAGAGGAGCAGCGCACAGAAAACATCAACATGATGTGTGCCGGGAAGGAGCTCTGTGCTCTTATTTTGGAGGGACTTTCCTTTTTTTAAATTGTTGATGGCTGCTTCATTTTTATAATAAATACTTTATATATTAAATAGAAAATGCACTTATTAAATGTAAAATTACTCCTCGTATAATAATATATTACCGGAATATTATAAAAGATACATTACTGTCGATCTGTATGCAGGACTTTATGTTGTAGTCGGTTAAAATAAATCTTTATACTCTGTGAGAGCAAGTTAATTTTTTATGAGTTCGTATGTAAAACCTTGATCTTAAAAGTAAGTAGTAACAGTCCAATATATGTTGTAGAGTAAAAAGCATAAAATAGCATATAACATAACCTCAAAACAAGTACTTGACCAAATTTAAGTAGTAACCTTTCATCACTGTTATTTAAAATGATATAATTTAACATTTACACACACATAATATCACAAATACACCTGGAACATTGAATTTTTATCAGGATGACTTTTACATAATAAGTGAATACCATACATGCAGCATCCAAACATTATGTACATTTATTTTTCAATCTTACCTACATCGCCTAAAAATAATGCTAATGGTGTTCTGTGTTCCTGTGAGATCCCGCTTCACTAAACCACAGTTGTTCCCAATTCATACTATCAACAGACAACCATCTTGTCCAATGACACAATATCAGTCTGCAATTAGATTGGACCAAATTGATGGTAGAAAACAACCGAGTGCTATTACTGTAGCAGGTACACAAGTAAGCAGCCTCCCGGTGCTGCGGCAGTGCTGTTCGTAGTGCAGGATGTCCGTGTGCTACCTGTTGGGGGGCAGCGAGGTGACCTGTCCCAGGGGGGTGGTGGCAGGTGTGGGAGGTTTCAGGTCTCCGACCGCCTCGGCTGTGGAGCTGCTGCCAGAGGACTGTGGCGTCTGTGGGCCTTGGAGGGAGCCGCCCGAATTCGCTACAAGACACAAGTGTTTTACCTTTTTTATTTCTTTATTCTCATCACAATTGGAGGATTCGCAGAATCTGCAGTGGAAACTGTTAGAAATTCAGACCGCGGGGCTCAGATAGGATGGTGAAGCCGGTTTGAGTCAGAGCGGCAGCGAGGCCCTGTGTTAGAGAGACAACTTTGGACTTAAAGCCAAAGCACTGACAGCGCTTCCCTCTACGAGACCTGAGCTCAAGCAAACGGAACCCACAGGACGGCGGCGAAGACGGGTGAGGAAAGACCGTTTCAGAAGGAGGGATGGGGGGGATTCGTCCGGGGGGGATTCCACCGCAGGGCGGTCGCAGCGCGACTCTTTCCTTGCAAGTGTTTTGAAGATGGTTTCTCTGTAAAAGGCCGTGCAAACTAAGGAAAGGAGCTCCAAACCTCCTTTTAGAATAAAACTCTCCTCTCACACAGAAATTCCAACTAGGTTATTGTGCCCTCTTATCACCACACCCCATTTCTGCACATTCTTTCAGTTCAGATGACTAGAAAATTAGGAGAGTTCCACGCTACAAGAGACCAACACACAAAGAACCACACACCAGATAAAACCAAGGGATACTAATTCCCAGAAGCAGGTGTAATAGAATATGTGGACCGCGCTGGCTTAAAGATGACAAAGACGCCGGAAGAGAGACTATGAAAGTATCCTAATGAGCGTTTAGCGTCAGAAGACTTTCTCTGGAACAGCCTCGGTGGCCTTTCCCTGCACCGCACGTTTCCACGGGAGGAAAAAAAGAAAGACTTAAGCTTTAAAAATTCATGCTCATTCTGAATAATTCAATAATACCCCCATGACTCTACATCATAGGAGATGCAGAGAAGAAGAAGAGAGACAGGAGAGAGAGAGAGCGGCGCGGCGAGGTTGTGCCCACAAATGATTGATAGCGCCAAAAAAAAGGTGAAGAAAAAGGCAGTGAGCATGAGGGATTCTTCACTTCCTGGGATATGGGTGCTTCAGAGGAACACACACACACACACACACACACACACACAGGGAACAGTGCAGGCATCGGTGGGGTTAGTGAGGGTTAAGAGGTTTAGCATTCCTCAAGAGCATGAGTGAAGACAGACGGATACATAATACCAATCAGTGGGGTTACAAAGATGGAGGAGGGGGGCTGAACTCGACTGCCCTCTGCTCCACATTTAGAGGGAGAGAGAAGGATGACAGGGGAGGCGACGAGGAAAAAACAGTGCGGTGTGTGTGTGTGTGTGTGTTGACGAGAGGCGGCGTGCGTGTCAGTGGGTGACATAATCCAGAAGGATTGGGTGGGCGGGGGTGGTGCGGCTGCTGGGGGGGGGGGGGGGAGTCAGTCAGCCGGGCCGCTTTTGTGAATGAAAGGTGACGGCGAGGTCGGGTTTGTTTACATGCCACATTCCAGTCCTCATTAATCACCCCCCCACCCCCCCCCTCCACCACCACAACTACACACACACAACAGCCTCTCCAACCCAGCACCCTGCTGGACAAGCCCCCTCAGTGACATCACCGGGCTGTCAGTGTATAAGAGCTGTCATGGTGTCAGAATTACATGTCGTTGTAATAATGAGTCATTTCTGTGTTAAAGGCAAATACCTAAACTAGCTAAACGTTTTCATCTTTCAACAAATTTCTTAAAATCCTGTTTTGTTGCTCCCCACACTTTCAAATGAAATGATTGCTTATTGCAACTTGGGTCTGGTAATATTCTACGGTTCAAAATAAAGATTTGGGAACAAAGCAACACTGAAGAAGGGAGCGTTTGGACAATCAAACAGGTTGTAAGTTAATATTTGCCATATGTTGAATATTTCCTGTAGTTATGACACTCCATGAACAAAGTTTGATTTTAAAAATGGCACAGCAGAACATGTATCTTTTATTTTAACCTTATTCTTTCATATTCGTAAATCATTTTTATTAGAAGAACAGGTCCCCATAATAATATACTTTCATCAGTTACCTTGGTGAGTTTAAAGGGAAGAACTTTGAAATTACCCTTCAAAATGACTGTGTTTCCAGCCCACTAGCACATGTAGAACACTACTTACATTCCTGTCTTCCATCAGGTGAGCGAAACTAGCTGTAGAGGTTCAAATCTCACGAGAATTCTGATATGAAAATTATGCAGCAGACCCCACTTCAATCAAGTGCTGCAGCATAAGCACTTTACATTTTCAACGCGGCGTATCCAACAGGCCGTCCGAACAGCCACAGCGTTGACCTTTCTACATTTCACAATACGGACGCTATCTCTGATTATGTGTACCGTGGTCCCATCAGCCGATGTGATGGCAAAATGTGATTCTGTGAAATTGCTGTGGTTAGGTCCCGGTCAATGAATGAGAGGGGGCTGGATTGAGAATTATAAAGTGTTATGAGCAAGAAGGAATGTGAATTCTGTGTATATATATATATATATATATATATATATATATATATATATATATATGTGTGTGAGTGTAGCTTATGTGCACTGCAAGTAGTGTGTGTATGCAAATCTTTTCCACCCACCAGGAAAAGCAATCTGCCGTGTCTCGGGCAGGTGAGATGCTCTGATGTTCTATTTAAAAGCCGGGGTCACTTTTCTCATCTCCGCTGCAAATTAGAGACGTGACCTTACCGCGCTGCATCGCTCCGACTCTTCTCCCTCTCCTCTTGCGATTCACAAGTCATAATTGCGTACGGAGACGCGCGGCGTGAACGAGGCAGTGTGCACAAACAGAAAGGAACCCTTGGTGTGGCGGCGCTGTGCCAAAGAGATATTACTTGACCTCTAGCGCAGCGTAATCAAACAAAGGCGAGTGAAATAAAGAAATAAAGCGCTGATCACTACAGATCACCGGCCCTCTGATGATTCCTCACACCCGTGTGGTCGGGTGAGCTGCACTTGTTGTTCGGCGGCCGACAGGTGGGAGACGTGAAAAAAGAGCCAAGGAGTGTTTTTTTTTTCGGGCCTTACCAGGTGAGGGTGGCTGGATCTTGACCTGCTTCCTGCCGTCCCCGCCGGGCCCACTGCCGCTGCCGTCCGCCGGCGGCTCCTCCCCCCTCTCCATCTTACACTCGTGGGCGAACAGATACTGGATGTACTGCTTCTTGAGCGAGCTGGCGGAGGAGCTGGACGTCCCCACGTTCAGGGTGGCGGACAGCTCGCGCCACTTCTTATTCTTGTTTACCTGCGGCGTTGAGGGAGGAGAGATCAATACGTCAAGTGAGGATCACCGATCACAATTAGTGTGCACGGCTGCGCTCATGTCCTTTCTTTATTTAGTAATGGATCCACGTAGCATCAGCCGCACGCTGGTCACGTGGCCCGCGGCGCGGTAGACCGCAGCCTGCAGAATGTAATCAATCTAACCCATTTCATGGATGTGCACTTCATGTTTCTGTACGTACTATAACCTCAGAGCGGGAGGTCAAGCTCAATTAATGACACTTTGCTGTCATTAATGTGCGAGGACACGGCTGACCACAGCCGGGCGGTTTATCCTGGTCCTCAGCTCAAGTTAGGGGGGAAAAACCACCGAAGTACAACAAAAAAAACGTACATTTCAATTTCTGCAGCTAACAGTTCTGGGGAGACTTTTTCCTCTCGATCCATCCAACCTGACCGGAACGCTGACCGCTAGTTGGGCCTTACTTCCCGACATGAGGGATCGACCTCACTCATCTCACTGTTGTGGTTCCAAAATCTTGCGAAAGTGTGTAGGCTGCCCCAGCAGCATGAAAACATTATATTGGTAACGTAGTGTTTGCCTTCCCGGGAAAGTCCTGCCACTGCTATTTGGACGTTTTCATCGGATGCGATTTGACAGGCGGCGTTTAGGGACACGGTTTCCTCAAGATTTACTTCCTTCTCTTGAGTGCATCCTTCAACATTTAAAAGCTGCTGCGCTGCACATCGGTGGAGAATATGAAATAGATGATGTTGATATGGGCGGAATGACACCGGTTTCCAGGGATGTTCCGCTTGGAAAACTTTTTATCTGCCTGTCATTACAGTATTTGTACTCCTGTCCAACATTGGGTGTGTTCCTTAGACGTTACCATGGCGAGGCCTCCAATCTCCCGAACGGCCATGTAGAGCTTCCAGAGGTCCAGCGGCTTCTTGCCCACAGCGGGAAGCTGGGTGACCGGCGTTCCCCTTTCCTCCATGAAGGTCAAGTATCGCTCCACCCAAACGCGCCTCTCCGGCTCCCCGCCCAGCTCGAATAGCCGCGTGATTCGCTCCCCACTGAGGAGGGAGGAGTTTGTGACGGCTTTCTGGTAGGAGAGATAGATGGGTCGGGGTCATTTAAATGCGTGGAAATGAACCGTATTCATATACATTTTCTATCATATAAATAAAATGCTACAACGACATACTATCTAACTATAAATATGGTAAACGGCAAAAAAGCAAAAATCGTTTTTTTCCTACATTTTCCATTCATGTCCTGTGGACATAATTAAATTAACTCTAAAAATGCAAATTCAAGTAATTCCTACTCTGATATAAAGAGTTTATTCTAGAGATTTCTTTTACTGCTGTATCATATTTCAGTTTTCCGCTGCAACAACCCACTCTCCCCCCGAGGATAATTAAAGTTTCATTCCATATTTACACATCCTGAAGTAGGCCCTGGGTGGAATGACCGAGCAAAAATAAGCACTTCTTTTTCCACTTTGTTCCGTGTGCAGCCGGTGTTTACTTAGAGAGACAGAGTTTAATCTCTCCGTCCAGGTCACAGAAGAGCTGCGTGGTCTAGTAACCGGCTTTTGATCAGCTAATTACTCAATAATCCTTCAGTCACACACGCATCAATCAATCAGCCAATGCTGACGTTATTTTTCATAACACAATAATTTCATAACTCTATTGTCCAAAATCCACCAAAGAAACAGCGCTAGAGCTTTTAGCGCTTACGGGGCTGGCGGGGGTCTTGAGGGGCCAGGGGGGGCTGCCGATGCTGTCGCTGTCGTCTCCGTGGTACGAGGACAGGCTGGCCGGGCTGGGGGACAGGGGGGAGGGGACGGGCAGGGCACCGCCCGGCGTGGCCGGCTGGGAGACACACTGCTGGGAGCTGCTGCCGCTGCTGCTGTTGATGTTGATGTTGTTGTTGTTGTGGCTGTAAGCGTCCTGCAGCTGGAGAGGAAGATTTTCTTGAATAAAGTAAATAAGCACCATCACCTTTGTTATGAGCGCAGCACAGCGGCGTGTCCTACTTCTGTCCCCACAACAACAGCCGGGTCAAGTTTCAGCGTTAGATAACGGCAAATGAGTCCAAATGTGTGCAAACGGATGTGCTGACAGGTGTGTACGCGTGTGTGTGTGTTTGTGTTGATATGCATGAGATTGGAACCAGAGGTACTGTGCTACTTCCATTTTACAGCTAAAGTAATGACTTTACATTCTAAAGCATCACTAATAATACACATACAATAAAATGATATAACCTTGCATAACAAACACTTCATTTTCATACTTATACTATATATTTACAGGACTTTTACTCTACCTGGAATTTAGTATTTATTTTACTTTAGGACATTGCTCCTTTTATCTAAGTAAAGTATCTAAATACTGTAGTACCACTACTGCGTGTGTCTAAGTGAGCTGTAAATATCACATCTTTTCCTCAAGTGAAAATCATCAATAGCACAGTTTAGGAATACTAATAGGATACACGTAGTATCCCAAGTAAAATCACAAGAGGTTTACCATCAAAATAGTAGCAAAAGCAATAGTACTCGTTGTATGGAATGTTCTATTGTGTTCTATCAAAATACATTATGGTATAATTATTCTTGCATTTATGTTTAAATGGCAACTGGAGGATAACATTAACATAGCATCAAATGTATCTTACATACATTTACTTACAAAAGTAAGATTATACTTAATTGCAGTAGTGTTTGCAAGTTTTTGTGCGTCTTACTGCTATTGTGTCTGCATGCATGAATGCTTATGTTAGCATGTCGGGGATACACAATGCACGCAGATCAGTGTGATCAGTCTGTGTCCATAAACGTGTGCGCGCCTCACTTTGTGTAAATCGCGCCGTGCTAGCTCACATTAGCGCGTTAGCCTTGTGTGCGCACATTTGCCTGTGCGCGCGCGTGTGTGTGTGTGTGTGTGTGTACGTGTGCTAAAGAGGGAACAACAGCTTGACAAGTGCTTCTGGTCTGTGTACAGAATGCCCATGTCAGCAAAACCTTATCTTTCTCCCTCTCCCCGGCGCTCTCCCTCCCTCCCCCCCCTCTCCTGGCAGACGGATCATCTCTTTTGGGAGCACTCGGGGTCTTTCTGGCCGCTCTGGCTGCCTTAAATAATTCAAAAGGCCCTACTACTGCAATCAGCAAAAGAAAAGACAGGGATTTGGAGGGAAAAGACGTGTAGTGGGTGCGATTGAGGCGTGTGGGAGATGCGTGCACGCCTGTGTGTGTGTGTGTGTGTGTGTGTGTGTGTGTGTGTGTGTGAGAGATGGGCTGTTAATCAAAAACAAGGGGAGGGGGGTAGAAAAGAGCAAAGAGCAGAGTTCTACTGTTGCTGTGCTGAGCCAAGCTGAGCTGCAATGGGGGGGGCAAAATGAGAAGTCAGCATTGTGTATTGGGACGGGTTTGTGTGTGTGAGGCACTGAGTAACTAGTGTTTAGGATGGTGCATGTGTGTGTGTGTGTGTGTGTGTGTGTGTGTGTGTGTGTGTGTGTGTGTGTGTGCGTAGACACGAGTGTGTACTGCAAATGGCGCGCCCGTCTCATCTCGGGCTGCAAAAATATCACACAGAAGAGAGCGCTGGGGGGCGAAAAAAACAAAGCGAGGAGAACATTAGGAATGTTACGATTGTGTAACCGTTGAACAAAACCATTAAATTTGTCGAGAGAAGAACAGAGAAACGGCCCCACTGTGCCGAGGCGGCGGCTGCTGATCACATTTGGTTTGTTTCATTGGAGCAAAAGAAAATGAGAGGAATAAAGGAACCGTAAAGAAGGATGGCGAGGAGATAAAGGTCAGCCAGGTACCTTTGGTCTGTGAGGCTCGTTGGGCGGGCCGCTGTCGTCTTTTATTTCAGTTTTCAATTTCACATCTGGGCTCATCATCCCGTCTCCTGACATTCCCATGGCTCCTGCAACAAGGGATGGGGTGAGTGGGGTGGGGGGTGGGGGGGGACATTAAAAACATAACAACATAAAAGCAAGAAACATCTGTGGGCAGCTTAGCTCTTGTCCTTTGACCAAAACCAGTATAAATATATAGGATAATAAAGCTTTGTCCCAGCAGGTACGCCATGTGGATTCAACATGATTCAACTCCCTCAAATGAACGTCGCTTATTTTGTGAGCGATAAAAGCTGCTATTTTAAAGGCCTCTAAACTCTTTCCAGCCGTTCATCTCCAATAGAAGATTGTGGGAGAAGCTTCTCGTGGATGATATAGACGTAGAAGGAGCAGATACTCCACAGCGTGCTCTCTCGACCTCTAAGCTCGCGGCACATTCTTAATGCGGGAGAACGCACAGACGATCTCACGTATCACGTAAAAGGGGGAGGGAGATGTTGGCCGACATTCCTGTTCCTGTTTGCAAAGACATTTGTGCGCCTTCACGACGTCTCCCACTGAAGAGCTGAGGTGCTTGAAGAGGGATTTCCACAGAGCCGGCTGCATATTTCTTATTAACAGAGAGAAGGGGTCCGACGAGACGAGGCTCCCCCTTTTTTTTATTTCCCCCTTGTGTGCCGCGGCACGGTGGGAAAACTAATGGCTTTTCACCGAGCCCAGAAGGCAAACCAGATGAGTTCTCAGCAACCTCGGCGCTCAGATTCGTTTGAAGTTTTCCAAATGTCACGCGTTCTGATGTTTGCGTTTGAATAAAAAGGTGCCTTTCACTTTAGGAGCCGCGGTTCCCTCTCAGCTGCATTTCACTAACAATGCGGACGGGCTGGAGGAAGAAAGGGACCCGATCTTTGCTCACAAAGAGTGAAAGCTCAGAAAGTAGCTGATGAGATGTGATGATTCTCTCACCTCATGAATTCTGAGACGGTTCTGCTCAACATAAAAAACGAAGGTTAATCTTCAGAGGTGGCCTCTGATTTCTTATTTAGCATTTTTTTTTGTCGTTGTTCTTTTCCCCTGTATATTTTGTAAAGTACACTACAAAGAAGTCAGAGAAGACGTGGGTGGTCGTGTTGCTCATGTCAGAACCTGCATCAAAGTACTCAGACAACAAAGAGCATCGCTCTACCTGGAGGCGGCACGTTGTAGGCCGGACCGGGTGCGTTTCCCGCCGGCTGGCTGTTGGGGACGGCGGTCGGCGCGGCGCCCGCCTGGCTCACGCCGGCGCCCTGACAGCTGCCCTGTCTGCCGCGGAAAGAGGAGGTAAGACGTTAGCGGAAGATCCGGATTCACGAGGTAACGACAGGCCGCGCGGAGAGATAAGTGGGTCACGGTGAAAGAACAGAAGTCACACATTTGTACAGAGATGACATTTGGCAGCCCGTCAGGGCCACGATGCCTCATTGTTGTAGCTGAGCAGCGTGTGTATCTGAAACCCACAATGAAAGAAAGCGCACTACACAACAACGTCTCTGATCAAACACAGCGCTCTTGAAGATGAGCAGCAAGGAAAAAGAAAAAAACTCCCGTCCTCTCTTTGCTTCCCCCCGCTGCTCCCACAAGTCATAATTTAACTAATTAAGGTGTGCTTTTGGAGAGGATCATGTTATTTGTTGCCATGGTGACAGCAGAAGTCAAACCCCCTCCTCCCCCCTCCTCCCCCATCCTCCCCTCCTCTCTCTCAGGCGGCTGATCGCATGGTGTTGCAAGTGACATCAGAGGGGCTTATCTGCAACCTGCTGAATGCTGGCCATCCATCCATGCGTGTGTGTGTGTGTGTGCGTGTGTGTGTGTGATTGAAGGTAACGTCTATCATCGCGTGCCAGGCAGCCCGACGCCAGTGACACGGGGCCCTGAAAGGGAACAACGTGTTTGGGACCATATCTCCCTGCTGTCTCGAGATTATCTCCTGGACGACCATTTGAGAGAACGCTGGAAAACGTTCTGACTGGACACATGAGAGAGGAGAGGTGGCAGCCGGAGAAGGCCGGACCAAACAGAGCAGAAGAAGGAACGAACGAAGAGACGGGAGAACAGTTGAAAGGAGAGCAGGATTGCAGGAACGCGTCAGGGGGACAATGTTGGGCAACGACGGACCACAAGTTTGTGTGTTTTGGCCCCGGAGTGCGACACCGTCTTGTGTGGACGAAAAGAAGCGTTCTATCCGGATTTATGTCAGTCAATTGCCTCCTAACTGGCATCTTTCTCTCTTTCACACACTCACACAGACACATGGTGTAATGCCTCATGTTGGAAGCGATACACATAGCCTAAGAGGAGGGATTGGCTTGGTAAACCTCCCCATAATCTCATCTCACAGATGTAATTAGTCATAGAGCACGGCTGATGATACATGCGTAATCCCTCTATGGGGGCCGAGGTGCACGGGGGGAGGGGGGCTCCATGGCAAAGAAACAAGCTCACACCAAACCCACGGCCCCATTCCCATATAATGGTGGAGATGTAGACTCCTCCGTTGCCCAAAAAGCTTCGCGTGAGTCAAGACACAGAAATAAACGCAGCTTTTGATCGCTGAAAAGTAAATACGGACCAGAAGAGAGCGCTGAGGGGAACAATGAGTTAAAGATGAACCTCATTTATCCAAAATTCCCCCTCACCCGGCTTAAGCAGTACAGGCAGAAGCTCTCGTGTGAACGGTGAAACACCGAAGACAACAACAACAACAACAACGACCGTGGTTGGAGGTTTTCAACTCTGGCACTCTCTCATTATGACTAATTCATGTCATAAAAAAAAGCCCATTAGAAGGCACTTGATGGAGGCATTGCACAGCGTTTAATCACACTCAATTTATGCATATTCCGCTATTGCCAGGGGGGGGGGGGGGGGGGGCCCTTTTCCCCCCCTCCTTTTCCCCGCCTAAAAAAAAACAACACCAAACCACCTCTTTCTCCCGCTTGGGAGAAGGGGTGTGGAAGGGACACAAAGGAAGGGGGGGGGGTGTTGGAAAAAAAAAAACGGGGGGGGAAAAACGGGTCACAACCCCAAAAAGTGGGTTTTTTTTCCCCCCGGGAAAGGCGGGGGGGGGGGGGGGGGGGGCGTATCTCCACCTCAGGGCCTCAGAGATGGAGGTAATCGCTGTTCCATGAGACTGAGCCGAGGGAGCGTGCACACACACACAGAGACACACACAGACACACACACAGTAGGAAACATGGAAACATCTACACTAACACCATCAGGCCAGTTTGCTGCTCAGGAGGGAGACAGACAGAAGCAGCGCAGGGAAACACTCAAAGAGTTTTCTGCTTTATTTAGAAAAGTTTCCACACCACAATGAAGGGCAGACGTAAGAAAATTCTGCGGTTTGCTCGGCCCGTCCGGACGTCACCGGGTCACAAAGGTCATAAGCGCTCACTGTTTATGGGAAAATACACCGCTTTGTTTGTTCGCACTTCAAGGTGGCGACTAACATTGTTTTTCTATTCGGTCTAAATGCTCTAAAGACACGCGCGAGGCCGTCGCTCTCTTTTTGCTGTTCACTCCCCATGTGTGAAGGGCACTGGAGAAGGCCACTTTCGCACCGTGGGCAGAGTGTGTGCGTGCGTGCGTGTGTGTGTGTGTGTGTCCTTGTGTTCATGCGCGGGCTAGGCGCTGTTGCCAAGGGGATGCCATGGTTACGAGGTGCCAGCCAACCAGCTGACGGTGTCTCTCTAGAAGCGCCGGCGCCTTTTTTGTCCTTCATTCGTGGTGACAGGCGGCGCCTCGACGCCTCCCAGCGCCGCTAACTGGACGAGACAGCGCAGAAGCGCCGCGAACCGCCGGAGTGTGTGATGGCCGAGCGTCATCCGCCCCCCCCCCTATCGATCCCATGGCTTCTGGTGTGTGTGTGTGTGTGTTAGAGTGTGAAGAAGAAAGTGAGAGAAGAGAGAGCCAGAGAGAAGCCGCTGGATGGAGGGATGGAGTGGATCGGCTGGAGGCCATGAATTATATATGGACCCAATCTGTTCTCAGGGCAGAGCTCCTCCAAACTCCTGACTCAACTCAACCAAACACACACACACACTCACACAAACATCCTCCCAAGAAAAAATAAATAAAAGGACAGCTTTTAACATATTAAATCCAGAGAAAAGCTCCCTCCCCCCCCCCCCCTCCTTCCCAAACATCAAACAGCTCAGGATGGATGGAGGAGAGGGCCATTTATTTTGCCCGTCTAATGAAAGCAGAGCGCTGCGCAACACTGCCAAGACTGCGAGCGACAAAGCACCACAGGCAGCATCACTCCTCCTTGACATTCGAGCGCTGCTCTTATTTATTTAGCAAATTTACTTACTAAGGAGGTCAGAAATGAATTATTTGGCGAGGATTTGCCTCGGAGCACTCTCCTCTTCCTCCCTCTCCCAACATTTTTCTCCCTTCAATTTCCCTTTGATTTACGGCTCTTTACGGAAAAAAAAAAAAATTTCCAGCTTTGCTCTTCTTCTACTAAGTGCTTATTTTTTCCGACGCAGCCCGTCCCCACAGCTCCAGGAACTTTTTGTGGAGTGTCGCCGGCAGCGCTAGAAAGTCATTTGAAAAGCCAATTCTGTCCTCAGAAGCTGCTGCCAAGAAAAGCTTATACCTTTTAATACTCTCAGTTCTCTTCTCCCCGGAAAAAAAATCCCCCAACATCAATCCGCAACCTCTAAAATAATGTTGTACGGCACCGATCTCCCGAACGAGCGTGTTCCTCCTCCACACTGACAGGCTTGACACCGTCCGTGTCATTTGAACACGATAAACAGACTTTCTACGCCGCTATTCATCATACTGACACGCGGCAGCACGCTGTGCCCAAAGTGTCGACTTTTAATAAAACCAAAGCCATTTTCCCTCAAATGCAATTTCAAGAAAGGCCACCATCTATTTTTGAAATTAGCCAACAGTGCGCAAACACGTAACGCCTAGATTAGAGGAATCCGGTTGAGTTTTTCTGACTTTGACATCAAAATAAAAGCTTTTCACTTGGAGCAGAGCGACAAGGCGCCTAAAACACGCCGAGGCGACGCGGTTTCCCTCAAACCGCCGATTCAACTCATTTACCAACAATCCAGTCGGCCGCTGGAGGCAAAAGAAACGGTGCCGCTATGAAGCAGCACATTATGAAGATTTAATCATGACCCACGCTTGCAGCCAGTGCGATACCTGAAGTGGCCCTCCTCCTCCTCCTCCTCCTCCTCCTCTGCTGCTTATTTGCCGTTCTTTTCCCTCGGCGTGATGAAGCTGGAGTGTGCCCACTAGCGTGTGAGTCAGGGTTGGATGGAGATGCGGGATGAAAGAGGGATTATTGGCGGGGACGTGATGAAGGAACCATAGAAAACCAAGGAAGGA